AAGAAAAAAGATGCTTGCCGGTACAAAATAGAAGAAAACACTGTACACAATTGTATAAAGCTGAATGAAAGAAATCCTAGATAAAAGTTTGAAAGGCAGGTTAAATGTTATCCATTTTATTCCCTAATGATTGTGGCACGTGAATTGGTGAGTGTGATGTTTACTGGGTTTCTTATCCTACATTTCAAAAAGTAAAAACATGTTATTCTGAGCCAGTGAATTGCTTCCACGTCAAGACTAGTTCCATGAATTTGTTTTAAGCTCGTGCTATCACAGCTGTGGGATATTCCAGCGCAGGTTCGATTCCTGTTCACAGCGATTTATCATTTTTGCTTTTTGAAAACTATGTCACATGTGCTACGGGATAGCTCCTTTGCTATTGACGCTCCATGGCAGAGCTGTGATGGCCGAGTGGTTAAGGCGTTGGACTCGAAATCCAATGGGAAATTCCCGCGCAGGTTCGAATCCTGTTCACAGCGATTTATCATTTTTGCTTTTTGAAAACTATGTCACATGTGCTACGGGATAGCTCCTTTGCTATTGACGCTCCATGGCAGAGCTGTGATGGCCGAGTGGTTAAGGCGTTGGACTTGAAATCCAATGGGTTATTCCCGCGCAGGTTCGAATCCTGTTCACAGCGTATCATTTTGCAGATTTATTGAATAATGAATTTCTTGTGTCATTTCGTTTGGAAGGTCACTGTTGCAAACTCGTGGTTCACATGATAAGAACAAAAGATGCTTGCCAGTACGAAATAGAAGAAAACACTGTACACAATTGCAGATTTGTTGAATAATGAATTTATTGTGTCATTTCGTTTGGAAGGTCACTGTTGCAAACTCGTTGTTCACATGATAAGAACAAAAGATGCTTGCCAGTACAAAATAGAAGAAAACACTGTACACAATTGCAGATTTGTTGAACAATGAATTTATTGTGTAATCTCGTTTGGACGGTCACTGTTGCAAACTCGTGGTTCACATTATAAGAAAAAAGATGCTTGCCGGTACAAAATAGAAGAAAACACTGTACACAATTGTATAAAGCTGAATGAAAGAAATCCTAGATAAAAGTTTGAAAGGCAGATTAAATGTTATCCATTTTATTCCCTAATGATTGTGGCACGTGAATTGGTGAGTGTGATGTTTACTGGGTTTCTTATCCTACATTTCAAAAAGTAAAAACATGTTATTCTGAGCCAGTGAATTGCTTCCACGTCAAGACTAGTTCCATGAATTTGTTTTAAGCTCGTGCTATCACAGCTGTGGGATATTCCAGCGCAGGTTCGATTCCTGTTCACAGCGATTTATCATTTTTGCTTTTTGAAAACTATGTCACATGTGCTACGGGATAGCTCCTTTGCTATTGACGCTCCATGGCAGAGCTGTGATGGCCGAGTGGTTAAGGCGTTGGACTTGAAATCCAATGGGTTATTCCCGCGCAGGTTCGAATCCTGTTCACAGCGTATCATTTTGCAGATTTATTGAATAATGAATTTCTTGTGTCATTTCGTTTGGAAGGTCACTGTTGCAAACTCGTGGTTCACATGATAAGAACAAAAGATGCTTGCCAGTACGAAATAGAAGAAAACACTGTACACAATTGCAGATTTGTTGAATAATGAATTTATTGTGTAATCTCGTTTGGACGGTCACTGTTGCAAACTCGTGGTTCACATTATAAGAAAAAAGATGCTTGCCGGTACAAAATAGAAGAAAACACTGTACACAATTGTATAAAGCTGAATGAAAGAAATCCTAGATAAAAGTTTGAAAGGCAGATTAAATGTTATCCATTTTATTCCCTAATGATTGTGGCACGTGAATTGGTGAGTGTGATGTTTACTGGGTTTCTTATCCTACATTTCAAAAAGTAAAAACATGTTATTCTGAGCCAGTGAATTGCTTCCACGTCAAGACTAGTTCCATGAATTTGTTTTAAGCTCGTGCTATCACAGCTGTGGGATATTCCAGCGCAGGTTCGATTCCTGTTCACAGCGATTTATCATTTTTGCTTTTTGAAAACTATGTCACATGTGCTACGGGATAGCTCCTTTGCTATTGACGCTCCATGGCAGAGCTGTGATGGCCGAGTGGTTAAGGCGTTGGACTTGAAATCCAATGGGTTATTCCCGCGCAGGTTCGAATCCTGTTCACAGCGGATCATTTTGCAGATTTATTGAATAATGAATTTATTGTGTCATTTCGTTTGGAAGGTCACTGTTGCAAACTCGTTGTTCACATGATAAGAACAAAAGATGCTTGCCAGTACAAAATAGAAGAAAACACTGTACACAATTGCAGATTTGTTGAACAATGAATTTATTGTGTCATTTCGTTTGGAAGGTCACTGTTGCAAACTCGTGGTTCACATTATAAGAAAAAAGATGCTTGCCAGTACAAAATATAAGAAAACACTGTACACAATTGTATAAAGCTGAATGAAAGAAATCCTAGATAAAAGTTTGAAAGGCAGATGAAATGTTATCCATTTCATTCCCTAATGATTGTGGCACGTGAACTGGTGAGTGTGATGTTTACTGGGTTTCTTATCCTACATTTCAAAAAGTAAAAACATGTTATTCTGAGCCAGTGAATTGCTTCCACGTCAAGACTAGTTCCATGAATTTGTTTTAAGCTCGTGCTATCACAGCTGTGGGATATTCCAGCGCAGGTTCGATTCCTGTTCACAGCGATTTATCATTTTTGATTTTTGAAAACTATGTCTGAAAACTGAAAATCTGTATACCTTCCCATCACAAGCTGAGCCAACTGATTATTAACAGGTTGTATATGTGACAAATTGTCTATGCCTATCAAAAGCTAAATATCAAGGCTTAATTACTGGCAATGTATTTTGGACATAATTCACATCATTTTTCACTGAATTCTACTGACACAATTTGGTTCAAGTTATGGTAATGATTTTGCCAAAATGGTAATCGTTTGGCATCTCTAAATGAGTCACATGTAGCAGCTGGATACATGTACCACATGATACATGATACATGAAACGAATCCGTGAAGCCATACATCAGGGCAAGTAGTCACATCAAGTCGAATGTAGCTGCATAGTAAATACAGTTGATATCTATCCCTTTGTAACTGGCTTGTGTACAGTAGCGTACCAGTAGTAATGATAATAAAACATGCATCTTCCTAAACAAAAAAAGTTACTAAACAAAACTTAATGACTAAGATGGTCACGTGAGCAATGACATTTCAATATTACTGACAATTTGAAGTTTAAGGCTTAAAAAAATAAAAGAACTGGTTCTCAGGCAATGGCTTTTGAAAATATAGTGCAGGCGGGTGGGCGGTGTCTTTTGTTGTTTACAGCCAACTTGGGAAAGTCCTACATAAAAGTATTCCTTGATGAGTAAAATACTGGAATACAGTATTTGACTACCCTTGGACTTGAAATATTTAAGGATTTTGTTGAATTTTTCAAAAATGGAAAAAAAAGAAACTTGCGGCAAACTTTATGATGATGCCTTAGAACCAAGACTATTATTTTTTTAAGCCTAAGTTTTGCAGAAAATGTGCACAAAAAGACATTGATCGTACACATCATATAAAGCATCTTGTACACAAAACAATGAGACTATTTCTTTACTGTAAAAATAGAAATTGGACAGCCTATTGCGTGGGCACCATCAGTGCCTGCTGACTGCCTTTTGCGTGGGCACCATCAGTGCCTGGTCACAGCCTATTGCGTGAGCACCATCAGTGCCTGGTCACAGCCTATTGCGTGAGCACCAGCACGGCTCAGGTTGGTATCCACCCACAATGTAAGCACCATATCGCGCTACCCTGTAGCATGTTTGTAATCAACATGTCATCACAAATGTAGAAACGATTTGATATCTTATCTAAATGAGAGTGAGGGGTAACGTTAAGTACAAAAATATCCAAGAAAATTATGGTAATTATACATAAACATTAACATACTGTGGACAAATAAAATTGCCACAGTCATACAATTCTGAACAGAATGAAAGACAGGTGTAAACTGAAATATTAACAGACATGAAATAGATATCAATATGTCTAAAGTGTATTGTTTGAAATAGTGAACTTTGCTGTAGACAGAGGTCACATTGGTAGTGGTGATAGTCATACTTAAGCTAGTATCGACTACTGAGACATACTATGGGCCGGAATACTGGTATGATATCAACCAGTATCCACAATCGTCATATATGGGCGAGAATATAGGTACATTGTCAACCAGTATCCACAACCGACATACATTGGTGGGAATATAGGTACTATATCTACCAGTATCCACAACCGACATGTATGGGCGAGAATATAGGTACATTGTCAACCAGTATCCACACCAACATACATTGGTGGGAATATAGGTACTATATCTACCAGTATACACAACCAACATGTATGGGCGAGAATATAGGTACATTGTCAACCAGTTTCCAGGACCGACATGTTTGGCCAGGGATATGGGTACAATATCATCCAGTATCCACAACCGTCATACATGGGCGTAATTATAGGTACGATATGAACCAGTATCCACAACCGACATGAAGGGCCGGGAAATAGGTACGATATGAACCAGTATCCACAACCGTCATATATGGGGGCGGATATAGATACGATAGACCTTCAAGTGAGGGATCCAGATGGTCAACAAGCCCATTTTTATACACAAACTTCTCTAAAAACCTAGTCGGCCTTGGTCATCTATATATAACGATACTAGCTGAAAATGACGACATTTCACTACAGATCAACTTCTCCAAAATGTGGATAGTCGCATCTGTTTCAAATCACCCATATTCAACAATTAACAAGTTCAACATATTTCTGTGGAGAATTTGTAGTTGTGCTCTGTGAGACATTCGGTGCCGCCTATATTCATATTCACACATAAGCCATCATGTCCGCACTGCTTTCCCAGTCTCTCCCCAACACCCAACACCCAGCAATACCCCGACACCCTCCCATACCCACCCACCCCTCCCCAACACCCCCACGATAAGCAATACCCTGACACCATTCCACATCCAACCACCCCCAACAACACCAACTCCACCCATCAACAACACCCACTCCTCAACCCCTTCAATCCTTTAACAGAACCTAACCCTCAACCACACCTACTCAACCCCTCAACAACAACTACCCCTCGAAAACACACATTCCATCCCTCAACAACACCCATCCTTCAACAACATCCATTCATCAACAACACCCATCCCTCAACACCCACTCCATCCCTCAACAACACCCATCCTCCAACAACACCCATCCTTCAACAACATCCATCCGTCAACAACACCCATCCCTCAACAACACCCATCCTTCAACAACATCCATCCTCCAACAACACCCATCCCTCAACAACACCCACTCCATCCCTCAACAACACCCATCCTTCAACAACATCCATTCATCAACAACACCCATCCTTCAACAACATCCATTCCTCAACAACACCCATCCCTCAACAACACCCACTCCATCCCTCAACAACACCCATCCTCCAACAACACCCATCCTTCAACAACATCCATCCGTCAACAACACCCATCCCTCAACAACACCCATCCTTCAACAACATCCATCCTTCAACAACACCCATCCCTCAACAACACCCACTCCATCCCTCAACAACACCCATCCTTCAACAACATCCATTCATCAACAACACCCATCCTTCAACAACATCCATTCCTCAACAACACCCATCCCTCAACAACACCCATCCCTCAACAACACCCATCCCTCAACAACACCCACTCCACCCCTCAACAACACCCACTCCTCAACAACACCCACTCCACAACTCACCCATTAACCACATCTGCTCCAACCTTCAATTACACCCATCCCTCAACAACACCCACTGCACCCCTAAAGAACACTCACCTATGAAAAAAACACCCACTCCCTCCCACAAACACATCCGCTCTACCCATAACCACATCCATTTCATCTCTTAACAACAACCATCCCTCAACAACACCTAGTCCTCAACAACATCTACTCCCTCCCACAACCACATCCATTCCATCTCTTAACAAAACAAACCCCCCAACAACACCAACCCCTCAACCACATCCACTCCACCCAACATCTACTCAACGACACCTGCTCCACCATTCAACAACAACACTCACCATCCCTAATCCTTAAGAAACTTTCTGACACCCAGGGTGTTACACTGGCACAAATGAGCATCCAGTACACACAAATGTGTAGAATAGATGCCGAAAAAGAAACATACCCGAGCCTGAGGGACTCACTATTATACATCCATGTATTCATTGTACCTACAGCCATGCAAGAGCAGTCATAGGCATCATATTGCCTGTAAGGACCCTTTAAAGTAGTTATTGGGGGACCCTGGACCCCCACTTTTGAATGTAAAGGTAAAACCCTGGACACCACACAGCTCATCAACACTCGCTCACCCATCCCACCCTTCAATCACACCTGCCCGAAACGAAACATCATAAACCCCGCTTCCACTCACCCCCATTCAATACCCTGCCTAACAGTTACCCACCTGCCCCGCCTCTCAACACTCCCACATCCATCCCATTAACACATAGATTGTACGTTGGTGTCAGTTATCTCCCCTGACTGTAACAAGGGCAATGTCCTGACACACACAGCAGGAGTGTTGGTACAGATGGTCTTGCTGTACTCAAGGTGTGCTGTTATCAGTGTTTTATCATCCCCTAAGCTGTTTTATTTAGCATGTGTTATCACCTAGATTTCTGTAGTGTGTCGCACACATGTGTTTGTTTTTCAAATAGATATGGTCTTGTTTTCTAAAATGATTATTGGCTAGATATATTATTGCCTTGCTGTAGTGCTACCTCCTCTTGTTCAAATTTACATCAACATATTACAATGCCACATGGGAATATAATATTACAGGCATGTTGATACGGAATATATCATCCAGGTATCTTCACTCCATGAACTTGGTCGTCATATTGCACACGTGACTACGATGTAGGGAATGATACATTTACAAAACATCGTAGCCAAAATAATGCCCACTGTCTGGCATTGGTACCACAAGACAGGAGCCTTGAGACAAAGGAGAGATTCCATTGGTGATAAAGTAACATGTACATCGGCTGCGGTCATCATGGTCTCCTCAATCCCATTCCTGGTTATCTCCCTTTTCGCTCACATTCTCCAAAACTTGTCCAACACGATAATCAACAAACAAAGTATCACAAACACGCCACCCTGATAAGTGTGCCATCCAGCACTCTGCAGACAGTTTGGTCATGGCGGAATGTTATACCAGCAATGGGGACTTGCATACATGGAATCTTCCTCTTACAGCATCGGTCTCACACAACAGTAACGGAGTATTATTCAGTGTCACTATCACGCCGCTGCCCTCATCAACTGTGAGAGATGAGAAGCTCTTCCATGCTGATCTGTCCTCGGTGGCGCCAGATCTTGTAGCGAGCCAGGTCTTTTCTGGTAACCATGCCAATCACCTAGAAACAGGAGTCGATTACTGTGAGAGTTCACTGCATTATTAGTGAGTGAGTTGGATTTAATACTGCTTTAAACAGTAACTGAGTTATAATAGTTTAATCTGTGAAGAAAGTCCAAAGTGATACAGGTATTAGACATGTACCAATTTGGCTCAATACATGGTGCTAACAAACTGAAAATCCTAATCAGACTAATCAGACTTGTCCACTACAAGTCTGGCTTGCCTAAGGGACTCTGCACAGCAAATTACGGCACTTTAGGAAACTGAGTCGCCTGTGCCCCAATAACTTTATGAACCTTCACTGATTGAAGATGGAATGTCACAAACATGGCCATGATGAAGTACCTGTTTATATAAGTTTGGGGGCTCATTTTGCATGCATATGATTCATTATCTAACCTCCATGTTTGAATGTTGTGATCTGATTGGTTCACATGATATTGATAAAATATTGTGTTTCCCGCCTGGGAGGGAAATATATTTCTACGCGGCAGAATAAATCCCTTATACCCCGCCACAAACAAAAATAGGCTGCTCACGGATTTCTGAGTGGGAGAATAAATCCCTTATACCCCGCCACAAACAAAAACAGGCTGCACATGGATTTCTGAGTGGGAGAATACATCCCTTCTACTCCGCCACAAACAAAAACAGGCTGTACATGGATTTCTGAGTGGGAGAAGAAATCCCTTATACCCCACCACAAACAAAAACAGTCTGCACATGGATTTCTGAGTGGGAGAAGAAATCCCTTCTACTCTGCCTAGAAGCAAAAAGCTTCAGGTGTATTATGTGACACAGCACAAGTTAATCTCAGCTCAAAAAATATTTTACATAACTTTTCAATTTGTTTTAATTCTTTTACAACATCTCACATAACAGAGGGAGTTTCTTGTTTTTCGCCAGTGACACCAATAATTCAGCTATATCTTGGTGCACTGAAACTACAGGCTTTGGTATAACAATCTGGGCCAGAGTGACACTTGTTGATATGATCTTCTACGGAGGGGTTGACACATCTTCATCCATCTTCCCGAGGCAAGGGAGTTAACTGACTTGAAAAGTCCAGTTTCCACCCTTGCCGAACTAGGCTGGGATTTTGTGGCTTCATCGTAGCACCACCAGTGGCTATGACAAGGTATGTTCCTTCAATGTCTCTCCCATTGACAAATCTGATTCCACCTCTCATATCACTTGAATTTGCTTCAAACAAAATGGCGGCGCCCAGTCAAGACGATCGGATCGATAATCAAGATCTACATTGTAATAAAACGGGCCTACCTCTCGAAGTGCATCAAATCATTTGAACACCTTGATAAAAAAACATGACAAGATTAGGAAAATATCTGTCAACGCCCAGTTGACGAAACACATATTTTGCAGTCGATCGAAATCTGCACGTTGTATTTCATGTTGATTACGAAACGGATGTCTATTTTGTTGCACGATTTTGATTGGACTATGCATAGACTCTTAGTCCAGCCCAAATGTAACTGTGGAATTCCAGCCAAGTTCTGCAAGGGTGGAAACTGGACTTTTATAGTCATATCGGAGTGAACATGTGACTTTATTGAGCTGGTAGTCATACCTGATGTTCATTGTTGATGACGATGACATGGCGCAGACCCAAGGCTCGGAACAACTTAAATATTCTCGGCAGGGAGGCAGACTGCAGGTAGAAATAACGAAGTCATTAAAAAATATATATTATCTTAAATGTTTGTTTGTGTGTTGTTTAACGCCGCACCCCATAATACATGTATTCCAGCTATATGACAGCTGTCTGTAAATAATCAACTTTCATGCTATGGATCTAAGAAGGTAATTTCTGTAACTTACATTGGTGACTGTGTATGGAGCTGGATTCATGAATGGCCGCAGGTCAATGGTCATTTCTCGTTCCTGAGGTGTCACATTTATAAGCTGCAACAAGTCAATACAAATTATGAGTCATCAGTATCGGCAGTAGATCCATTCTCGAACATAATTCTCCTTACAAGATCCTCACTGATCACAACCTTCTAATAAGTCAAATCTTCTACCATTACGACATCACAATCATAACAAACTAATAAAGCATTCACTTATACATGTACCTGGAAACATAAATACTGACATTCAATATGCATGAGTGAGTGAATGTTGGTGAAGACAGGGGTCAGGATATATCCCAGTGATATTATAGTGGACTGTACATAAGTGGGCAGATCAACCAGTGGTTGACATTGTACAATCATCCACGTCCTTCAATGACCTCCAGGTGGAATCTAGTAGCCTCTTAAGACAATAGAGAGTCATAAATATGATGATGAGCATGTCTTTCATATGGGCCTTCAATTGTTGTGAGGAAAATCTTGCTTAATGTAAACTGTCAAGGCATCTGAGGAATAATGAGTTTGAACATGCCACTTTGAACAGTATTTCAGTCAAACCACGGCGTCAGCTTGATGTGGGAGGAAAGCTTAAGTGATGCAGGTCTCAGACGTTTACAACTTTGATGAAACCCAGAAGATGGTTTGGTGCAGACAAACCAAGAAACATAAGCAGGAGGAATCTGGGATTCAAACCCATGATCATCTGTTTCTGGCATACCAAAGGGAGGCAACTCTGCACAGCAAATTTCTGCGCCTCAGCCAACTTGGCCACCTGTGACCCTCTGAGGAATAAGATAACATTATGGGCACCTGTATCGGAGGGTATCGTGGGTAGGCATCCCGAAAGTCCACCGACTTTAACGTGGTTTGAAGACTGTTGATGTCAGGGTTCTCATTGAACACCTGCAAAGCAAAGCGTAAAAGAATGACATTTCAAACACCTCCATCATGCTTCTAAAAATGGCACGAGACACAATGGAAGTCAAAGACAATGTATAGTGTATCGCAGACAAGGACCATGAAGGTCTTTGAAAGGCATTTAGAAGTGATACACATGAGGAAGAGAATATATGGATGTCAACTTCTTTATTATGAGGAACACAAAATTTCGGAGTATATGCTTACTACCTTATCAGATGAAGCAGTAAGCATGTGTAACAACATCAAGTCAGCTGCAGTGGGCCAGCCGAGGGGGTTTAGGCCCTCGGTCGTCATGCCGTAGCCCAAGGGTCCACTGCCTACATGGGTACTAAGTGTGAAGCCCATGTGTCCCCACTACATGATGTGGAGAAGGCTCTGCCTAACTACGTCAGAACGAATCTAGCAACTGACCTTGAACTTGATAAGCATGATAAGTTGAGACCGAAGAATCATCCCCTCGAAGGTCCCAAATGATTCATACATCAAGCCCCTGCGCTGTAACAGAAAATGAGCTCTTGTTAAATGGCAAATCAAGGTACGAAACAAACAGTATTTTATAATCTTGTTTGTCACTTTTACAACTGTTTCTTTCTAACTTTATTATTGCTTACTACATTTCTGATATGACATCAATAGTCATGAAGTGAACAGAGGCATAGTAATTGTACATCTTTAAACACAGTTGAGGAATTTCTTTTTAACATAAACACTCCATGCAATCACAAAACATTCCTTTTCTTGCTTAGTGAAATATCATTACGCATGTGATCAATGGTGGCCGCCATCTTTGACATTGTCTTTCTAGTTATCAAACATATTTCCCCATTCGCTGTCTAATGATTGCGTTGGTTTCCCTGTCAGCCATGACAAGTAAAGATGGCAACTTCCAATCTGTGTCAGTGAGGCACATGTGATGTGTCACAAATGTTTGCCCTGACATGCACCACAGAGTGTTTACACGCCTAAATCTACTCATTTCATTTTGTTGCTGACACGATTTAGTTCTAAGTTTCAAATGTTAAACACAGTCAGGGCCCAACAACAGTATCTACTTCTCAGTTGTTTCTTGTGATCTGGTTTCAACTTCACACCTCCGCCTGGAGAGCGGAAGGTCCAGGGTTCGATCCCCAGCTGCGTCATACCAAAAGACGTTAAAAGATGGTACTTGTTGTTACCCTGTCTGGCGCTTGGCATTAAGGGGCTAAAACAAGGACTGGTCGGCTCGGAGTCAGTATACTGTGTCTGAGTGGGGTATTCATGTTAAACTGCGGCATGGTATCTCAGTGAGCTAGCACTGTAAATCGGCATCAGTCCGGACTAGCACAAGCAGCCACACACACACACGTGCATGCACGTCGCTGTATAAGTGCAATTATCTTGGACGCGACGTTAAACCCCATTTTACCTCACCTCACCTCAACTTCACACCATTCGACTGGACAGAAACATGTCTAGAGGAAACTGTCCCCTGTCACTCTCTCATACATGGCATCAACACCAATGTTTGTCAAGTTGTGACAGAAATCCAATCAACTAATGGCAATCTACAACAGGTACACACATTTCAGGTCAAATCAACTAATGGCAATCCTCAACAGGTACACACATTTCAGGTCAAATCAACTAATGGCAATCTACAACAGGTACACACATTTCAGGTCAAATCAACTAATGGCAATCTACAACAGGTACACACATTTCAGGTCAAATCAACTAATGGCAATCTACAACAGGTACACACATTTCAGGTCAAATCAACTAATGGCAATCTACAACAGGTACACACATTTCAGGTCAAATCCCAAGGAGGATAGGGAAAACCTAGGGTGCGTTGCAAAGCGCCAATCGCTTGTAAGCGATGTACAGCGATTCGCCTTACAACAGTGCGCTAACTGTCAGCCGCTGGCAAGCGAAACAATCGCTGACTGAGGTCGCTTCGTTCTCAAACCAAAATGGCGGCTTACTTTGACAGCGGAACAAGGAATTTCATCAGCTCGTCATCGAGCCTCATATATTACGTTCTTCATTACGCGGATGGTCAGACTCGCTGACATGGTTGATGCATGTCATCGTATCCCAATTACGTGGATAGATGCTCATGATGTCAATCACTGGATTGTCTGGTCCATACTCGATTATTTACAAACCGCCGCCATATAGCTGGAAGATTGCTGAGTGCGGCCTTAAACATCAAACAAACGTAAAGGCAACCAAGCGGTAGTTGTGCCGCCATTTTGGAAGAGTGCGCAAGCGCTACGAACTGTTGCAGACCCCGGATTGAGCGATGAATTTGCTTTCTCAAAGCGATTCGTGGCTTGCAACGCGCCCCTATTATTTTTGTCAGGTGATACAGAATTTTTAGGTAAGAGATAGTGTAAGAGTGACAATCAGTGTGGTGTAGAGACTGCTGCCCCAAAATGTGAGAAGAGCTGATTGTTTACTTGTTTAGTAAATATGTCTCTCTTTTTAACATGAACAATTTCCACTAATATGCTGTAAAGATATAGCTTCACACTAAGTTAATGATTAATCCAATAAGCATGGCAAACGTAGCCTGCTAGTTTCACCACTTGGTAACATGATGTACACCTGTAGCCTGACTAGCCAGCTATAATTTGCTGCTTGCTGTATTGGCATGTAACCTACACTTAATAAGTATAATATTACGTGTCATGTTACTTTATGTGAAAATATGTAACATCATATACTGAATGGAATAAAAAATATTTTAAAAGAAGAAGAGTGTTTAGGGACGTACTATACATCTGTCCGGACTGTAGTCGTCCACCACGGGGTAGCCATTGTGAGTCTCCTTCTTCAGCAGGTCCATGATACGCCCCACCGACTCCACCGACCGGAACACGGTCACAGGGTGACTCATCACCTCACTACCACAGAGAACACATTGGTACATAGACACCTTCAAACACAACACATTGGTACACAGACACCTTAAATCAGAGCTCTGACCGGTCGATTCATCACCTCACTAACACACATCACACAGTGGTACATCATTAGCTGACAAACGGCACATCCGTCCATGGAAATTTGAATAAAACTGTTTTTCACAAGACTCCTACCAAATACTTGTGTAAGAGGTAACAAAAATTGATTGGGAGCACAGACCATAAGAACTAATAGTTTATGTCTAGTTACAGATGTGATACGACTAGTTACAGGTGTGATACGATGACGAGTTAAAAATGTGATACAAATTTAACAAACAGAATGGCCAATGGGGTCGAGGATTTTTTGGCCAAAGAAGAATCTTCTTGACTAACATTTTCAATAAACACCTTTAGCCTGGGTTATGTGAATATTGTCTTACGTGGCGCTGATGTTGGCGCTCATGTCTGGCGGCTCCCAGCCCAGGATCGGGACCCCCTGCAGGTGCACGTGCATATCGTAGATCCCCTGGAGCAGACGGTCACACATGAAATACTGCCATCTGTTCTGTAGTACATTTAGTGTCACAACACCTTTTCTGTAGTATGTTTAGTGTCACAACACCTGTTCTGTAGTATGTTTAGTGTCACAACACCTGTCCTGTAGTATGTTTAGTGTCACAACACCTGTCCTGTAGTATGTTTAGCGTCACAACACCTGTCCTGTAGTATGCTTAGTGTCACAACACCTGTCCTGTAGTATGTTTAGCGTCACAATACCTGTGCTGTAGTATGTTTAGTGTCACAACACCTGTCCTGTAGTATGTTTAGCATCACAACACCTGTCCTGTAGTATGTTTAGCGTCACAATACCTGTGCTGTAGTATGTTTAGTGTCACAACACCTGTCCTGTAGTATGTTTAGTGTCACAACACCTGCCCTGTAGTATGTTTAGTGTCACAACACGCTGTTCTGTAGTATTTTTAGTGTCACAACACCTGTGCTGTAGTATTTTTAGTGTCACAACACGCTGTCCTGTAGTATGTTTAGTGTCACAACACCTGTCCTGTAGTATGTTTAGCGTCACAATACCTGTGCTGTAGTATGTTTAGTGTCACAACACCTGTTCTGTAGTATGTTTAGTGTCACAACACCTGTCCTGTAGTATGTTTAGTGTCACAACACCTGTCCTGTAGTATGTTTAGTGTCACAACACGCTGTTCTGTAGTATTTTTAGTGTCACAACACCTGTCCTGTAGTATGTTTAGTGTCACAACACCTCTCCTGTAGTATGTTTAGCATCACAATACCTGTGCTGTAGTATGTTTAGTGTCACAACACCTGTTCTGTAGTATGTTTAGTGTCACAACACCTGTGCTGTAGTATGTTTAGTGTCACAACACCTGTCCTGTAGTATGTTTAGTGCATAAAAGTTGGCTGAACAAAGACAAAGGTCATATTTACAACATCTCACTTCATCGAGTCAGTCAATATCATAACTAAAGACTTGAAGCCTTGTGTAGTGTTTGTTTGATTGTATAACGATGGAGGTGGTTTTTTTGCTTTAAAACAACCTTTCAAATCAATTTTGTACTTTCTGAATTGTGCAGTCAATATTTAGTCCGTGAAGTCCTACCTCATTAAAGAAGTCACCGACCCATTTGGCCACCATCAACACGATCATGATGGGGAGACCGAACGTCACATTACCGGTTGCCTCCACCACAATGACAGTCAGACTGATTGTCATCCGGACAATACCACCTGTCAAAACACATGCTTGTAATTATCAGAGATAGACTGTGACACCGTTAGAAACATCTACGGGCAGCAACGAACGGAAATCAGTTTAACTTTAACGCAATACCATCATGAGGTGTTACCGGTACATAAAATATGAAGCAAGTTACATCCTAGTTCTCTTTCGTCATGTGATGAAGACACACAAGTGAGAGACCGGAGCACCGTGATCAATCTCATTAAAATCAGATCTTAGTTCTCGCTACCGCTAAACAGAACGACCTTTCATCTGACCAATCAGAGCGTTGCTTACCAGATCATGAAAGTGACAGTCGGAATGTGATTTCTAATCATGTAGCTTCGAAAACGTTAAAACGGGGTATTCCGAACGATACTTACGGGCTTAACGACTGAATCTATACAATCTAGACCATATATTAGCCATTCTAGAATGTTCTTTTGTTCAGGTTTCAAATTTTTAAGCGAGAATTTGTCAAAATATGTTTTGAAGCGTAGTCGCCAATTTGAAATGAGTGCCGTAAAGCACGAGAAAGCTGCCTTCTGATTGGCTAATGTCGACTTCTTGTCAGTAATTCTATTGGTTGGTCAGAGTTTGCGAAAGGTCGGTCTGATCTTTGTTTAGCGGCAGCGAGAACTAAGATCTGATTTTAATGAGATTGCACTGTGATGGAATCTACAGAATAATCAACCTTTATTCCCAGCATTAACATCTAATAACACCCCAACACCATCTGATACTCCCAACATGTGGACTATGACAGTTATACCCCACCCATCTGCCTCAAGACTCACCCAGTTGAGCAGCAGCTCCGATCAGAGCATACTTGCCAGGGTCTGCCCAGTCCTGGAAAACAACACAAGATACATCAAGCCATACTTCAACACCAATCAAAGTAACTTATTTTGAAATGCAAAGTTTCACCAAACTAGTAACCGTCTCGACCTGCATCATTGCTGAAGACTCTGTAACATAACTGAAATACTGTTCTTGAATCTGGACCCTGCGACCAGCGGATCCTTGGGTGGAATGTACTGGTCAGTCCCTATGTATTCATGACAATCTGTTACATTTCATTTGTCTAATGACAGGGATCTACAAGAGTCAGGTAGGGCATGTACTGTGTCCTACCCCTCATCACCTCCTACCAAGGGACTGGCACAAGTACATATCTCCCGGATTCTGGTAGCCAAGGCACACAGCTCTGCACAGAAAATAGTGGTGCCACTGGCTTTAATGATGATTTCCTACTCTCTTCCAAAGTAGAAGCATTTATGTAGAACCAATAGTGAAATCTGCTTAAGTAAAATTTCAAGGGGCCAGGAAATATATCTTTCCGTTATTTCCGAAATCTGCCGACAATGACAGCAGTGGTGACACTGTGAATATGTTGTTGTGATGTAATGATTAAATAACTGACTAACAATCCATGAGCTCTGCAGTGAAATAAACACCAAGCGGATTACACTGTGGTGGCAACAAAAACCTAATTTTGCATCAGTCTCATCCTGCTCAACATCCAGCTACTACACATCAACGTTTGCATCAGTCTCATCCTGCTCAACATCCAGCTACTACACATCAACGTTTGCATCAGTCTCATCCTGCTCAACATCCAGCTACTACACATCAACGTTTGCATCAGTCTCATCCTGCTCAACATCCAGCTACTACACATCAATGTTTGCATCAGTCTCATCCTGCTCAACATCCAGCTACTACACATCAAGGTTTGCATCAGTCTCATCCTGCTCAACATCCAGCTACTACACATCAACGTTTGCATCAGTCTCATCCTGCTCAACATCCAGCTACTACACATCAACGTTTGCACTGACCGCATGGGGTAACAGGAACTGAAGCAGGATACCGAACATCCGGCCCCAGGCTGCACCAATCAGAAGGCTTGGAATAAATAACCCACTGGGCACGCTCAGACCATACGTCCAGCATGCCAGCAAGAAGTAGCCAAGGGTGTAGAATCCCAGCGTCTCAATGTTGTAGGATCCTGGGGAACAAAAACACATATAAGTAAAGACTAATGTAAACCTTTCTTCTGATGTATACTGCCATCATCATACAGCCGAATAACAGCAGGGAATTGCCACATAGTGTATACATGTGATAAACTGATACATGATCACACACTCATCGATGCCCTCACGGAAGGGGACAATCACTCACCGATGTCCTCATGGAAGGGGACAATCTCTCACCAATGTCCTCAAGGAAGGGGACAATCACTCACCGATGTCCTCAAGGAAGGGGACAATCACTCACCGATGTCCTCAAGGAAGGGTACAATCACTCACTGATGTCCTCAAGGAAGGGGACAATCACTCACCGATGTCCTCAAGGAAAGGTACAATCACTCACCAAGATCCACACGGGAGGGGAAAATCTCTCATTAACACCCTCACAGGAGGGGACAATAACTCACCGACACCTTCACAGGAGGGGACAATCTGGTGTTCTCAAGGAAGGGGACAATCACTCACCGATGTCCTCAAGGAAGGAGACAATCACTCACTGACACCCTCACGGGAGGGGACAATAACTCACCGATGTTCTCAAGGAAGGGAACAATCACTCACCGATGTTCTCAAGGAAGGGGACAATCACTCACTGACACCCTCATGGGATGGGACAATCACTCACTGACACCCTCACGGGAGGGGACAATCACTCACTGACACCCTCACGGGAGGGGACAATCACTCACCGATGTTCTCAAGGAAGGGGACAATAACTCACCGATGTTCTCAAGGAAGGGGACAATCACTCAACGATGTCCTCAAGGAAGGGGACAATCACTCACTGACACCCTCATGGGATGGGACAATCACTCACTGACACCCTCATGGGATGGGACAATCACTCACTGACACCCTCACGGGAGGGGACAATCACTCACTGACACCCTCACGGGAGGGGACAATCACTCACCGATGTTCTCAAGGAAGGGGACAATAACTCACCGATGTTCTCAAGGAAGGGGACAATCACTCAACGATGTCCTCAAGGAAGGGGACAATCACTCACTGACACCCTCATGGGATGGGACAATCACTCACTGACACCCTCACGGGAGGGGACAATAACTCACCGATGTTCTCAAGGAAGGGAACAATCACTCACCGATGTTCTCAAGGAAGGGGACAATCACTCACCGATGTCCTCAAGGAAGGGGACAATCACTCACTGACACCCTCATGGGATGGGACAATCACTCACCGATGTTCTCAAGGAAGGGGACAATCACTCACTGACACCCTCATGGGATGGGACAATCACTCACTGACACCCTCATGGGAGGGGACAATCACTCACTGACACCCTCACGGGAGGGGACAATTACTCACTGACACCCTCACGGGAGGGGACAATCACTCACCGATGTTCTCAAGGAAGGGGACAATCACTCACTGACACCCTCACGGGAGGGGACAATAACTCACCGATGTTCTCAAGGAAGGGGACAATAACTCACTGACACCCTCATGGGAGGGGACAATCACTCACTGACACCCTCACGGGAGGGGACAATTACTCACTGACACCCTCACGGGAGGGGACAATCACTCACTGACACCCTCACGGGAGGGGACAATAACTCACCGATGTTCTCAAGGAAGGGAACAATCACTCACCGATGTTCTCAAGGAAGGGGACAATCACTCACCGATGTTCTCAAGGAAGGGGACAATAACTCACCGATGTCCTCAAGGAAGGGGACAATCACTCACTGACACCCTCATGGGATGGGACAATCACTCACCGATGTTCTCAAGGAAGGGGACAATCACTCACCGATGTTCTCAAGGAAGGGAACAATCACTCACCGATGTTCTCAAGGAAGGGGACAATCACTCACCGATGTCCTCAAGGAAGGGGACAATCACTCACTGACACCCTCATGGGATGGGACAATCACTCACCGATGTTCTCAAGGAAGGGGACAATCACTCACTGACACCCTCACGGGAGGGGACAATCACTCACCGATGTTCTCAAGGAAGGGGACAATCACTCACCGATGTCCTCAAGGAAGGGAACAATCACTCACCGATGTCCTCAAGGAAGGGGACAATCACTCACTGACACCCTCATGGGATGGGACAATCACTCACCGATGTTCTCAAGGAAGGGGACAATCACTCACTGACACCCTCACGGGAGGGGACAATCACTCACTGACACCCTCACGGGAGGGGACAATCACTCACTGACACCCTCATGGGATGGGACAATCACTCACCGATGTTCTCAAGGAAGGGGACAATCACTCACTGACACCCTCAAGGAAGGGGACAATCACTCACTGACACCCTCACGGGAGGGGACAATCACTCACCGATGTCCTCAAGGAAGGGGACAATCACTCACTGACACCCTCACGGGAGGGGACAATCACTCACCGATGTCCTCACGGGAGGGGACAATCACTCACCGATGTCCTCAAGGAAGGGGACAATCACTCACCGATGTCCTCAAGGAAGGGGACAATCACTCACTGACACCCTCACGGGAGGGGACAATCACTCACTGACACCCTCACGGGAGGGGACAATCACTCACTGATGTCCTCAAGGAAGGGGACAATCACTCACTGACACCCTCACGGGAGGGGACAATAACTCACCGATGTTCTCAAGGAAGGGGACAATCACTCACCGATGTCCTCAAGGAAGGGGACAATCACTCACTGACACCCTCATGGGATGGGACAATCACTCACCGATGTTCTCAAGGAAGGGGACAATCACTCACTGACACCCTCACGGGAGGGGACAATCACTCACCGATGTTCTCAAGGAAGGGGACAATCACTCAACGATGTCCTCAAGGAAGGGAACAATCACTCACCGATGTCCTCAAGGAAGGGGACAATCACTCACTGACACCCTCATGGGAGGGGACAATAACTCACCGATGTTCTCATGGAAGAGGACAATCACTCACCGATGTCCTCAAGGAAGGGGACAATCACTCACTGACACCCTCACGGGAGGGGACAATAACTCACCGATGTTCTCAAGGAAGGGGACAATCACTCACTGACACCCTCACGGGAGGGGACAATCACTCACCGATGTCCTCACGGGAGGGGACAATCACTCACCGATGTCCTCAAGGAAGGGGACAATCACTCACCGATGTCCTCAAGGAAGGGGACAATCACTCACCGATGTCCTCAAGGAAGGGGACAATCACTCACCGATGTCCTCAAGGAAGGGGACAATCACTCACCGATGTCCTCAAGGAAGGGGACAATCACTCACCGATGTCCTCAAGGAAGGGGACAATCACTCACTGACACCCTCACGGCAGGGGACAATCACTCACTGACACCCTCACGGGAGGGGACAATCACTCACCGATGTCCTCAAGGAAGGGGACAATCACTCACCGATGTCCTCAAGGAAGGGGACAATCACTCACTGACACCCTCACGGGAGGGGACAATAACTCACCGATGTTCTCAAGGAAGGGGACAATCACTCACCGATGTTCTCAAGGAAGAGGACAATCACTCAACGATGTCCTCAAGGAGAGGACAATTAAACACCAATGTCCTCAAGGAAGGTGACAATCACTCATCGATGCCCTTATTGAAGGGGACAATCACTCACCGATGTCCTCAAGGAAGGGGACAATCACTCACCGATGTCCTCATGGAAGAGGTTCTTGACACTGGCCTCAGGAGTCTGGAAGAAGATGCTGGCTGTCGAGCTGTAGTAGCCGTCTTGGCAGAAGAACTGAAACCGATATGTGGAGTGAGTGAGTGAGTGAGTGAGTGAGTGATATGTGGAGTGAGTGATTGATATGTGGAGAGTGAGTGAGTGAGTGAGTGAGTGAGTGAGTGAGTGGGCTGACCGACCTGTACAGGTTCTCCGTCTCCGCTGCCCTTCATGGGCTCGCAGTCGTTGTTGAAGTAGATGGAAATGTAGCCCAACAGACCTGTCATGGCCGCCACAATCATGGCTTCCAGCACCTGCTTCCACTTCTTCTGGATGAACCTACAGATGGATATACAGGATGTTCATCACTATGATACACTGTTGACATTGAGAACAACATCAGCCTCAGCATCATTTTCCAATGGGAAGGCAGCGATAGAGACTAACAGTTTTAGCCCACTAGTCCTCATAATGATAACATAGGAAAACCCTTAAAAGTGGCCAATTTCTACTCTCCTTAGGATACCTGAACTACTGGGCTGTCTGGAAAGGGCTACAGGACTGGTGCAAATGTCTAACACTGGAAGGGCATTAACAAATTGTTGGGTTCTGTTTACAAAGTCGAATATGTACTGGATATGATGAAAGGATGATAACGTAACAGATGCATGATGTACAAAATGTGCAAATCTAAGAAACACCAGTTTATTGTTTAACATCACACTCAGCAATGCTTCAGCAATATGCTGGGATGTGAGCAGGTTTTGCCGAAAAGAGAGGAAAACTCTAGGGGGGGTCTGAGGCCTGCCCCCCAGAAATGTTTTAAACATTTGGTTGCATTTTAAGCAATTTCGTGCAGTTTGGACAACATTCAAACCAAGAAATGTTATAAGCCAATGGCAAATGTCTAGTCAAATAAACAAAGATGGCGGATGCAGTAAAATGTCAGAGTTAAATCAGTACTTTTTAAAAATTGGGCATAGCTTCTGCGCACCTGGCAACCCGCTGGGTTGGGGGGCAATATTGCCATAAACTTCACCCCCAATCCCCCAGGACAAGTGTCACAAGCGTGCAATGTTTAACCCTTTCCCCCATGTTAAGCCATATTGAAAAAAAAAAATTACCTTGTACCTACCTCGAAAAAAACACAAAACAACATTGCAAACCATAAGACATTAATACATTAATAGTTTTCTCGCTAATCACATGAACTACTGTAAAACATCTCATTTTTTTCTCTTATAGGCTAAAAGTCAACTTTATCTTAAAAACAAGCCATCTTCTGAGTATTTACAATTATCTGTGTGACACCACATCCCATGCTATAGTGCAAGTATTCGTGATAGAAAACATATGTGTCATGAATAATAGTACAAGCATATATGATGTTGAAAGCTCTGATCGAAAACAGGACAATCCGCAACCGTTGTCCAGAAACACGATAATAATTTTGGCGATTTTTAAAAAAAATCTTTGATTATATTTTTATGTGGAAGATGATTTTTTCCGAGGACTACTGTTTGAAAAAACGTGATTTTCCGCTTTTCCGCGGAGATTTTACATCCTTGAATATGACTTTAGCCTGGATCTGGACCGGACAAACCAGTGATTGATATTATGAGCAAGGATCCACCACATCTGGATATGGTGACACGAAATTAACCAAGTCACTGACATCCATTAGTCAGCTCTTACAACCAGCTTAGATTGCTAGATTTGTATGTTACTGTAACCATGGTAACAACATGACAAGGCATGACAACATTTCATTGTCTAGTTATATTATTTAAGAAAAAGCCTCACCTCATCCTGTAGACAGTCAGCTTGTAGTTGATCTGATTGAACAGAGCTCCTAACAAGCCACCTGAAGGAAACCAGTTGGTCAGTGAAAGTGAAAGTGACATTTGCATAAACTGTTCACTAGATACACAAGTGTGCTGTGTGTGCTCCAACACACATAAAAACAAACTGTTGCTTTCCCCCATGCTTTGGTTTTGCAAACATACCCTGATATATTACTCAAAAGAAGTTAGGGAACACCCGATATTTTTTCATACGACTAAGGTCAATCTGTTTTGACATGACACATTCACTATACTCCTATGGAAACATTGAGTGTTCTTTAACTTCTTTTGAGTAGTATATCTCAGTAGTGAGTGAGTTGGGTCTAACGCCGCTGTGAACAGTATTCCAGTTACATCTCAGTGTAAGCTTGATATTGGAGGAAAAAATGCAGGTCACGCGTAACCCACAAGCAGGGGTATGGTGCTGACAAACCCAGAAATATAATCGGAGTGAACCAGGATTATATATCTTAATAAACTGTTGTCCTCTTGCTCTAGCTGTTAAACAACACAGAAAATAACTCATGTAGGACGTGTCATGGCAAGTCTGTGCTGTCAGTCAGTACCATACTGTCCGAGGCATAGGCCAAGATTGTAAGAACAAAATCCAAGACAGGAAATAGGCGGTCTGCCAAACGCTAAACCAATATTCTCGGAAAGCATTTTGAAGGGACCACTGTCTCCAACAACAAAAATTCACAGTCCATTGTCTTTATATACAATGTAACACATAAATTGGAAGAAATATCATTACCAGGTCCTGTATCACATCAACCATCTTCATGCTCACACTATCAAAAACATAGTGTAGAATTCCTATAACATCCAGATTGAACATTGACTAAATATTTGTTTAATCAGGTAAGGACGTATTCATTGTTAACTGCTTACGGCCCTGAGACCGCCACTTACCAATCACTCCCATAATCAAGAATATAGGGATCTCAAAGCCAGAATACTGTGTGTTCTGAAAACAGAGAAAACATATGTTCATTTATATCATTCATTTTGAATTCTGGGAGGAGAAATGACTTATATACAGGGTGTGGGTTAAACGCAGCTTTGAACAGTATTTCAGTCAGATCATGGCATGTCAGCTTGATGTGGGAGGAAAACCCTAAGTGATGCAGTTTTAGACGTTTTACAGCTTTGGTGAAACCAACGAGCATGCACAGGTGTTAATGACTAAAAAACAGCTGTTAATGACTGAAACACAGGTGTTAATGACTAAAACTCAGGTGTTAATGACTAAACCACAGGTGTTTATGACTGTGACACAGGTGTTAATGACTGAAACACAGGTGTTAATGACTGAAACACAGGTGTTAAGGACTGAAACACAGGTGTTAAGGACTGAAACACAGGTGTTAATGACTGAAACACTGGTGTTAATGACTGAAACACAGGTGTTAATGACTAAAACACAGGTGTTAATGACTGAAACACAGACGTTAATGACTGAAACACTGGTGTTAATGACTGAAACATGGGTAGTTAATGACTCAAACAGGTGTTTATGGCATAAAAAACATAATACCTGTACGAATCACGATATTTATTCTGTGATGGATGTGATATGTGGCAAACAATGAAATATGCTTACATCAAATTTTCCAAAGTTGATAAGACCAGGTGATGAAAGATCCCACGCATGACCTTTGACATAGCTCTGTACAATATTCAAGGTGAAGGTGGAGGTCATGGATGCAAAAAACTGAAACAGGCATTCAAGAAAATAACACAGGATCTCAGTTGATAAATGTGACTACCATACATCGCTGCCCATTAATGGACATGGGTTTGATATCTGTTGATTTTATACACAAAATACTGTAAGTTGTAGCAGAATCGCGAGGGGTACTTGGGGTTTTATGTGTCCCGAGTGGCATGAATCCCTTCTGTAGGACGCATAAAATCACAGGCACTTCGAGTAATCCTGCTACAACAAATTTATCTTACTGACATCTTTTAATATGACATTGTAAAAGAAGGAAAACAAATTCAAAATTGATAGAAAACAGATGTTCGATTGAGTGCAGATTAACTTGTGCTATGTCACGTGACTTTCACTGACTCGGAAAAAGCAAGCAGTTTTTTGCTTCGAAGTAGGGTATAAAGGATTTATTCTCCCTCTCAGAAATTTATGTGCAGCCTGTCTTGTTCGTGGCAGGGTATTAGGGATTTATTTTCCCGTTGAGAAATTTGTTTCACTCCAAGTCGGGATACATAGTATTTTATCAAGATCATGTGAACCAATCAGATCTCATCATTATGACATGGAGGTATGATAATGGCTTATATGCAAGGTATGAACTTACACTCAAGATATAGACTAATACGCCAGATACAGACTTACACTCTACACAAGCTGTTGACTAGATATTGTCTCACACTGCATATATGGGCATATACCCGATATGGGCTTATAGCCCAGCTAGGGGCTTATGTCAAGGCAGGGGGAGGTAACTTACAATCCTCCAAGTGAGACCCTGGTTCCAGAAGCTGGCCCCCTCCTCCAGGGCGAACAACACCCCTCCCACAGGTGCTCCAAAGGCCGCTGCCACGCCTGCTGCCGCCCCTCCCGACACAAAGTCTCTCTTCTCCGTGTCCGTGCGGAAGTATTCAAATATCTGATACACCAAGTAAAAATGTATATATAAACATTCCAGAAAAGCCTGATGTTACTTTGTTAAACTTGACTCACTACAGCCCGGTAGCAATGTATTCAGGATGTAAGGAATGTTTTCTCTCCATGTTTAAGTTAGTGAAGAGGTAAATACCGATATGGACGGATAAGTCCAGTAGCATCAACACCTGCACACAGTTTCTGTGACAAGAAGTCTCTTGTCAGCCGGAAGCAACAATCAAAATATGAATCTTGAGCCAACAGTAAACGATGTATACGAGCAGGGGAGTTCCATGCCACTCAGAAGAGTATCACAGCATGTCAGATTGATGTGGGTGGAAAGCCGAAAATGATGCATATCTTAGATGTTAACCATCTTGGTGAAAACCCACTGGCACAGGTATGGTGCTGACAAACCTAGAAACATAATCAGGGTGACTCTGGCATTTGAACCCACAATCCTCGGTTTCTGGGACAGGTAAGGGACACAACTCTGCACTAAAGATGTATGACATTATTGACAAGGACGAACCAAGACTCAGTGACCTACCTTGAAGTCCAGGTTGAATGATGTTGAGCGCCCCTGAGACACCCCGGCTGCGATCACGGCACCAGAGTGGATCATCGGGCCTTCCTGCAGTCATAACACACTGTCAGTCTTCATCAACAAATACACCATCTGTATCGCAGTTCAGTCTACTGCACTAACACATGGAAGCTCTAACAGACCATGTTCAACATAGCCTGACGTGAGTTGGGTCTCACTCAACCTTGGAAATTAATTCCATTGTATCACAGAATATCATACAATGTAGGAGAAAGCTGAACGTTAGATGTTCACTACATAATCAAAATTTCAACTTGAGATTCTTACTATTATAGGCGCATATATCTAATGGGCAAATTTATTCAAGAAATCCCAACCACCTGGCAGATGAGAGCTGAACCCACCTTCCCTACAGCCAGACCTCCTGCTACAGCACTGACAACCCCACCACCTTGTAGATGAGAGCTGAACCCACCTTCCCTACAGTCAGACCTCCTGCTACAGCACAGACGACCCCATCACCTGGCAAATGAGAGCTGAACCCACCTTCCCTACAGTCAGACCTCCTGCTACAGCACAGACGACCCCATCACCTGGCAGATGAGAGCTGAACCCACCTTCCCTACAGTCAGACCTCCTGCTACAGCACAGACGACCCCACCATCTTGTAGATGAGAGCTGAACCCACCTTCCCTACAGCCAGACCTCCTGCTACAGCACAGACGACCCCATCACCTTGCAGATGTTAGATAAACCCACCTTCCCTACAGCCAGACCTCCTGCTACAGCACAGACGACCCCGCCACCTTGCAGATGTTAGATAAACCCACCTTCCCTACAGTCAGACCTCCTGCTACAGCACAGACGACCCCAACCACCTTGTAGATGAGAGCTGAACCCACCTTCCCTACAGTCAGACCTCCTGCTACAGCACAGACGACCCCATCACCTGGCAGATGAGAGCTGAACCCACCTTCCCTACAGTCAGACCTCCTGCTACAGCACAGACGACCCCACCACCTTGTAGATGAGAGCTGAACCCACCTTCCTACAGCCAGACCTCCTGCCACAGCACAGACGACCCCATCACCTTGCAGATGTTAGATAAACCCACCTTCCCTACAGCCAGACCTCCTGCTACAGCACAGACGACCCCACCACCTTGCAGATGTTAGATAAACCCACCTTCCCTACAGTCAGACCTCCTGCTACAGCACAGACGACCCCAACCACCTTGTAGATGAGAGCTGAACCCACCTTCCCTACAGCCAGACCTCCTGCTACAGCACAGACAACCCCACCACCTTGCAGATGTTAGATAAACCCACCTTCCCTACAGCCAGACCTCCTGCTACAGCACAGACGACCCCAACCACCTTGTAGATGAGAGCTGAACCCACCTTCCCTACAGCCAGACCTCCTGCTACAGCACAGACGACCCCATCACCTTGCAGATGTTAGATAAACCCACCTTCCCTACAGCCAGACCTCCTGCTACAGCACAGACAACCCCACCACCTTGTAGATGAGAGCTGAACCCACCTTCCCTACAGCCAGACCTCCTGCTACAGCACAGACAACCCCACCACCTGGTAGATGAGAGCTGAACCCACCTTCCCTACAGCCAGACCTCCTGCTACAGCACAGACAACCCCACCACCTTGTAGATGAGAGCTGAACCCACCTTCCCTACAGCCAGACCTCCTGCTACAGCACAGACAACCCCACCACCTGGTAGATGAGAGCTGAACCCACCTTCCCTACAGCCAGACCTCCTGCTACAGCACAGACAACCCCACCACCTGGTAGATGAGAGCTGAACCCACCTTCCCTACAGCCAGACCTCCTGCTACAGCACAGACGACCCCATCACCTTGCAGATGTTAGATAAACCCACCTTCCCTACAGCCAGACCTCCTGCTACAGCACAGACGACCCCACCACCTGGTAGATGAGAGCTGAACCCACCTTCCCTACAGCCAGACCTCCTGCTACAGCACTGACAACCCCACCACCTTGTAGATGAGAGCTGAACCCACCTTCCCTACAGCCAGACCTCCTGCTACAGCACAGACGACCCCACCACCTTGCAGATGTTTTATAAACCTATTCATTGGGATCGCTATTAAGTAAGAGACTTCTTTCTATAGGCATTAAATCCTATTGTGAGGTTTTAAGTTCCAGTCGGGTTAAATCTCATAAACAGGGACGTTGTAATGTCCCTGGGATTTTATATAATATCCCAGGGATATTATATAATATCCCAAGGATTTTATATAATGTCCTGGGTATTTTATTAATATAACTTCCGTTCAGATTGTAACATGTAATGAAATGTAAAATCAAATGACAAATGTTTTCTATAAATTCCCAAGGATCGAACTCGCAACCTTCATATCTGTAGCCCAGTGAGTGTACCACGAGACTACAGACGTGTTGATAAGCCTCACTGGTTTTTAGAATGTCCTTTTCAAGATCCGTACGCCAGCAACAGATATTTTACGCGCGTTTCCTAAGGTTCATGGAAAGTATGTTCGAAACATAAAAATGTTGATAAATGTTGTTTTAAGTTTCTTTTTTCGGTTTATAAGCATGGAAAAACACTTTCCCTCAGTTTGCCTCAGAGGGAAAAACCAAGGGGGCGAAGCCCCCGCGGTTTTTCCCGACCCCCAGGGCATGCTCTGTCTACCAAAACCTCGTGAGCGTGTTTTCTCCAATACATATAAACCCACCTTCCCTACAGCCAGACCTCCTGCTACAGCACTGACAACCCCACCACCTTGTAGATGAGAACTGAACCCACCTTCCCTACAGCCAGACCTCCTGCTACAGCACAGACGACCCCAACCACCTTGCAGACCAGGGTTTTGAAGCGGACGACATGAGGTATCTTAATGCCATTGAGGTAGCACTTGATCTGGGGAATTCCACTCCCTGCTGCCACCGGCTGCCAACACAATGTAAGAGTTTCACACCTCAAGGACAAAATATCAATACAGCAATTTCACTTGGACAATAGAGCAATCTCACTTGGACAATACAACAATCTCACTTGGACAATACAACAATCTCACCAGGACAATACAACAATCTCACCAGGACAATACAACAATCTCAACAGGACAATACAACAATCTCACCAGAACAATAGAGGAATCTTTGGACAATACAGCAATCTCACTTGGACAATACAACAATCTCACTTGGACAATACAACAATCTCACCAGGTCAATACAACAATCTCACTTGGACAATACAACAATCTCACCAGGACAATACAGCAATCTCACCAGGACAATACAACAATCTCACCAGAACAATAGAGGAATCTCACCAGGACAATACACAAATCTCTCCTGGACAATACAACAATCCCTCACAAGGGCAATTCAACGATCACACTTGGACAACATAACAAATGTGCATATCTCCAACATGTTTCGTAATGTAGTTTTTTTTCCGGTAAATTAAACACACCAAGTGACATTATTGATGAACACAAACTTCCTCTATTTACCTACGTACCTCGCCATAGGCAGTGATGATGGCGCCGACCATGCAGATGCCGGCATTGAAGCCGATCCACATGAGGAAGGGCACGTACAGACAGTGGTTGTCCACGCAGCTGTCCACATCTAGACACAGCTCAGGAAAACACAACAAGCAGCACCTCCCTTACACCTGCATATCATCATACAAGGCTAGTGTGTGGTCCTATCCTGGTGTAACAGTAACACTTAAGGTCCTATCCTGGTCTAACAGTAACACTTAAGGTCCTATCCTGGTCTAACAGTAACGCTTAAGGTCCTATCCTGGTGTAACAGTAACACTTAAGGTCCTATCCTGGTGTAACAGTAACACTTAAGGTCCTATCCTGGTGTAACAGTAACACTTAAGGTCCTATCCTGGTGTAACAGTAATACTTAAGGTCCTATCCTGGTGTAACAGTAATACTTAAGGTCCTATCCTGGTGTAACAGTAATACTTAAGGTCCTATCCTGGTGTAACAGTAATACTTAAGGTCCTATCCTGGTGTAACAGTAACACTTAAGGTCCTATCCTGGTGTAACAGTAACACTTAAGGTCCTATCCTGGTGTAACAGTAACACTTAAGGTCCTATCCTGGTGTAACAGTAACACTTAAGGTCCTATCCTGGTGTAACAGTAACACTTAAGGTCCTATCCTGGTGTAACAGTAACGCTTAAGGTCCTATCCTGGTGTAACAGTAACGCTTAAGGTCCTATCCTGGTGTAACAGTAACACTTAAGGTCCTATCCTGGTGTAACAGTAACACTTAAGGTCCTATCCTGGTGTAACAGTAACGCTTAAGGTCCTATCCTGGTGTAACAGTAACGCTTAAGGTCCTATCCTGGTGTAACAGTAACGCTTAAGGTCCTATCCTGGTGTAACAGTAACACTTAAGGTCCTATCCTGGTGTAACAGTAACACTTAAGGTCCTATCCTGGTGTAACAGTAACACTTAAGGTCCTATCCTGGTGTAACAGTAACGCTTAAGGTCCTATCCTGGTGTAACAGTAACGCTTAAGGTCCTATCCTGGTGTAACAGTAACACTTAAGGTCCTATCCTGGTGTAACAGTAACACTTAAGGTCCTATCCTGGTGTAACAGTAACACTTAAGGTCCTATCCTGGTGTAACAGTAACGCTTAAGGTCCTATCCTGGTGTAACAGTAACACTTAAGGTCCTATCCTGGTGTAACAGTAACACTTAAGGTCCTATCCTGGTGTAACAGTAACACTTAAGGTCCTATCCTGGTGTAACAGTAACACTTAAGAGCTATCCTGGTGTAACAGTAACACTTAAGGTCCTATCCTGGTGTAACAGTAACACTTAAGGTCCTATCCTGGTGTAACAGTAACACTTAAGGTCCTATCCTGGTGTAACAGTAACACTTAAGGTCCTATCCTGGTGTAACAGTAACACTTAAGGTCCTATCCAGATCTAACAGTAACACTTAAGGTCCTATCAAGATCTAACAGTAATACTTAAGGTCCTATCCTGGTCTAACAGTAACACTTAAGGTCCTATCCTGGTGTAACAGTAACACTCAAGGTCCTATAATGGTCTAACCGTAACACTTAAGGTCCTATACTGGTCTAACAGTAATACTTAAGGTCCTATCAAGATCTAACAGTAACACTTAAGGTCCTATCCTGGTCTAACAGTAACACTTAAGGTCCTATCCTGGTCTAACAGTAACACTTAAGGTCCTATCCTGGTGTAACAGTAACACTTAAGGTCCTATCCTGGTGTAACAGTAACACTTAAGGTCCTATCCTGGTGTAACAGTAACACTTAAGGTCCTATCCAGATCTAACAGTAACACTTAAGGTCCTATCAAGATCTAACAGTAATACTTAAGGTCCTATCCTGGTCTAACAGTAACACTTAAGGTCCTATAATGGTCTAACAGTAACACTCAAGGTCCAATAATGGTCTAACAGTAACACTTAAGGTCCTATACTGGTCTAACAGTAATACTTAAGGTCCTATCAAGATCTAACAGTAATACTTAAGGTCCTATCCTGGTCTAACAGTAACACTTAAGGTCCTATCCTGGTCTAACAGTAACACTTAAGGTCCTATCAAGATCTAACAGTAATACTTAAGGTCCTATCCTGGTCTAACAGTAACACTTAAGGTCCTATCCTGGTCTTACAGTAGGGCCGCAACGATACAGGAAGGTCACGATACGATACGCATCTCAATATTCTGGTATTCTGGTATTCAATATACGCAATGATAAATAAAACAAGACTTAAAGCATGTCAAGATTGAACCTTTCATGATTTTGGAAGTCAAAATTATTTTATAATAACAAGACTACTGAAGTTGGAAGTTTCTCTAATTCAAAGTTCAAACACCAGAAAATAATTAATGTACTCCACCAGTGATACAACTTCAAAGAATTTTGATGCAATGGTCGAAGAAATTTTATCTGAAATTATTGTTTTATCTGGAATAATATATTCCAATATCGTGTTACCTTAGTTGCAGCTTTTACTATATATATATTTCAAATTATAAGAACCACAAGTGTAGCATTTTGGTACTGGTGATTGCTGTTGCAGGATATTTTTACGTATGGAACAATTTGATCAGTCACCCTAGGGACTTCCCGTGCTACATGTATTTCGATTGCGAAAACGTTATGTTGACATATATTCGCGAAATTGCCACAAATATGACCTTTAATGAGTCAAAGTATGGCATTTGTAATATATGTATCCATTCTCTAGCAACTAAAGTTTGTTTCAATGTGTCAAAAGCGGTAATCTGACTGTGGTTGCTGTATCTCTTCACACACGATTTCACATAGCTTAATGAAAACAATATTAAATGAAATTTTGAATAAAATTAATAAAATATATTACAAACACAAGTCCAGATATATAATGAACGAGTTTTAATAACAAGATAGTAACTATAATAATGGTATTGAATTGCGTACTTCAGTTCGGATTTGCTGACAGGTATTTCCATGGTTATGTGCTTGCGGGGATCAGCTGATAATGTTTTTTGAGATGGGGAATAACATCTGTCTGTGTAAAACCTGAGCTTATTAAAAATGTAAGTACGTTTTTGGAGCCATGCGTTACCTAGCGGTATAACCAAGTTTGCGGTTTATTGAAAGGCACAATAGCGAGGAAACGCATTACTTGAGATTTGCATTCCGTATCGTGGCGTATCGATAAATTGGCCCACGTTTATCGTATATGGTATCGTGGGTCAAGTATCGCGATGCATCGGAATATCTGTGTATCGTTTCACCCTTATCTAACAGTAACACTTAAGGTCCTATCCATATCTAACAGTAACACTTAAGGTCCTATCCTGGTCTAACAGTAACACTTAAGGTCCTATCCAGATCTAACACTATCCTGGTCTAACAGTAACACTTAGGGTCCTATCCTGGTCTAATAGTAACACTTGAGGAAAACAATATGGTCCTATCTGGGCTGACAGTAATATTTAAGCGAAACGATGTGGTCCTATCCTGGTCTAACAGTAATTCTTAAGGGAAACAATGTGGTAATATCCTGGTATAATACTTGAGGGAAGTAACAGTTTAACATATCTTTAAAGCAAACATATAAAAAACAAAGTTATTTTATGGATCAAGCACAGAACGCTGTTGGATAAGAATCAATGATTAATTACTGTGGAATTTGGATTTGATTGGCATATAAATATTTTCATTCTAGTTCACCATCTCTAAAGGCAAGGATACAGTTTTTGACATAGCTGTACTTGAGGGAGGAGCACTTCTCCACCATGACATCAATGAAGGCGGCCACCAGCCCCGTCAACACCCCGATGACCAGCGACACGAACCAGCGCGCCACCTCCATCCGGATGATGCCCTACACACACACAGACAGAGACTCCATATTGTCACCAAATCACCTCTATCAAGCTTACATCTTCATTGGTCGCCTAATTGTCACCAAATCACCTCTATCAAGCTTACATCTTCATTGGTCGCCTAATTGTCACCAAATCACCTCTATCAAGATTACATCTTTATTGGTCGCCTAATTTTTAAACCTGGTCACCAAATCACCTCTATCAAGCTTACATCTTCATTGGTCGCCTAATTTTTAAACATGGTTGCCAAATCACCCCTATTAAGCTTTCATCTTCATTGGTTGCGTAATTGTCACCAAATCACCTCTATCAAGCTTACATCTTCATTGGTCGCCTAATTTTTAAACCTGGTCGCCAAATCACCTCTATCAAGCTTACATCTTCATTGGTCGCTTAATTCTTAAACCTGGTCACCAAATCACCTCTATCAAGCTTACATCTTCATTGGTCGCCTAATTTTTAAACCTGGTCGCCAAATCACCTCTATCAAGCTTACATCTTCATTGGTCGCCTAATTTTTAAACCTGGTCGCCAAATCACCTCTATCAAGCTCAGATCTTCATTGGTCGCCTAATTTTTAAACCTGGTCACCAAATCACCTCTATCAAGCTTACATCTTCATTGGTCGCCTAATTTTAAACCTGGTCGCCAAATCACCTCTATCAAGTTTAAATCTTAAATCTTTTCTCCTGTTTGTGACCTTCACCTTGGTAGTTTTCTGCTTCTCCTCACGTTGGTACAGCACATTCTCACAGATGTCGTAGTCAAGACTCTGCAGCAAACAACGGAGTGAGTGAGTGAGTGAGTGAGTGAGTGAGTGAGTGAGTGAGTGAGTGAGTGAGTGAGTGAGTGAGTGAGTGAGTGAGTGAGTGAGTATGCAATACATCTTCACAGATATTAGCCTGGCAGACGCCAGGAATCAAACTCTGGTGTTTCCATGATTAGAGACATCTGACTGATACAAAAATAGATTAGAGAAGGGATGCATTTACCCTGCGAGAGTTTTAAACGAATAAGCTGATACTCCATCCATGATTATGACATCAGTAACTTGCGTAACTTTGCCCCTTTGAAGATTGACTAGTTGTGTACTGGTACAAGATAAAACATTTCAGTAGACATTTTAAATCTGAGACAATAGCAACTGCTGCCAATGCTTCTGTGAAATCCAGGCTGCTTTTGTCATGGGTGCAAGCACTCAATGATGACAAGGATCCATTGTGACATCAAAATGATCTGTGTTATCTGGGTTTTTTTTATAGTCACGTTTGACTATCAAGACATATATCACCTTTCAGTAACTATATCATGCTGTGACCTATTAGTCATGTGCTGTAGAGCTGCAGTGCATCACGTCACTATCTCACATATTGTATTTCTACCAGGCATGCGATTGAAGAGCAAAAGCATGGAAAAGCCTATACCTTTAAAACCTCCAATTGTTTTCACCAGAAATTATCGTACTGAGTTGAGGAAAAATGGAGAGCAAAACGACATATTTAATCAACTGTCAATTTAGCATACTGATCAGTTGTATTCTCAAAAAAGGAATCTTTTTCACTTATATTTTCTCACACCATCTGAATCTGAGTATGAAGTTGAAAAACACACAAATAATATGAGGGGTGGCTGGGTAGCCCAGTGGTTAAAGTGTTCGCTCATCACACAGAAGACCCGGGTTCGATTCCTGACATGGGTACAATGTGTGAGGCCCATTTCTGGTGTCCCCCCGCCGTGATATTGCTGGAATATTGCTAAAAGCGGCGTAAAATCAAACCCACTCACAAATAATATGGATGTCGTTACCATGGTTACAGCCCTAACACCTAGGGCGTGCTTACCTCAAACCTGGCAGACAGCAGTTTCTCTGGAATGGACTGCTCGTTGTCAATGGTGATCTCGTTCTCATCGTTGTCCCTGCTATTCTCCACATCACGCGTGAGGCTTCCCTCGTCCCCGTGGGCTCGCTTCACAGCCTACATGATGCGTAACAGTATTATTCAACAAGCCCTCAATTAAAATCAATTCAGGGTAATGAATGTCAATGTCAAACTTATATTTCAACATCCAAAGTGCTTGTGTCCAAATTAAAATAAGCAGCATCTACTCTACAGTGGGGGTACATCAAATTTCAAAACACAGTAGGTTTATCTCTAATGGGATGCACACAGAGATTTACCATTGTCTATATATGTCTGAGTCACTGGGACTCTCAGTGATGCATTGTGGGTATCCCAGGCGTCAGTATGGGAGTCCCGGGACCAGTTCACCAACAGACATGAACAACAAGGTGTGGTGCCTAAAGCTTATTATACATTGGGATTTCCTTGTCCAAAGTAGTGACTGTCCAAACATTGTTGTATTTCTAATTAGAACATAAACATAACATAGATCTTCCGTACATGTTTTAATTAGTTAAATCATTCCAACATCCATACTATGTTGCATCCAATGGACTCGCAGTTGAAACCATTTGTGTCCCTTAATCTTTCCTAAATACAGGATGCAATATTTGGCGTTCGGTAAAACAATGTGTGCACAAAAACATATGGTACATGAAATGTAGAGAAAACAAAGTTCACATGCTGCTACAAAGCTAAACAAGACATTATTTTGCTCTCAGGCAACAGGAGACACCTTAAAGGGGCACTGATCTAACGCAATTCCCCGGACTGGTTGTTGCCTTTGTTATTGTTTTTTCCCCCGTGAGTACCCGGATGATACGCAACGCAACTGAGCGTGACCAGAGACTGGGCTACCGTCTGCAAGGACAGTTAAATAAACTTGGAGGCTGGAGGCAAAATTTGTTTTACGCATTTTTGCATAAACACTGATTGGTTAACTGTGATCTATAAAGATTTCGACAAAGGGCGCATGTTAATTAATTTCTTCAGCCCAAACAAACAGACAAAAAGAACGGCAGAGCTCATCGGATGTCATCATTTGGAAATACCCCAGATGGATATAGTTTAATACTAAAAAAGTATCCATGCAGTGAAAGCATTTTCGGATTTCGGATTGCGTCGATAATACGATTACTACTCCCTTGTCATCCACATTTTCTCGTATAACCCCTACACTTGTGTATTTGTCGTCATTCACTTGATGCTCAGTTAATGAATTTATTACAGGTACAATTAGTGGTAGCATCACTTAGATTACCTGACAAAGGTTCCCATTTGGCATTTATTGTGTCTGGGGTAATTATTCAATCTAAATCCAGGTTTGAAGTGAGGTGAAATGTGTGTTATGTAATATGCACGTGGCAGCCCAGCAAGAGATGAATGATCAGTTGATTTACTTTTTTTTTGTATATCAACGGATTGTTCCTAGTCATCAAAGGATTAACAGAAAATACGTTGATTGATTAATCACTGTTATCTTGCACAGTGGATATGTCAAAAGTGAGTGTTTACATGTCTAGGTTTACTAAAACAAAGGGAATACACTCATATCATGGCATGAAGTGCCCATGTAAAAACAACATACTTTGTTCAAAGGGGTTAACTGATAATACGTTGATTGATTGATCATTGTTATCTATCACTCAATGGATGTTTTAGGAACCGTGGACGTTATGAAAATAGTTGTCACGTGGGCTTTCTCAGCCGACCCTTGAGACTTGACACCTATGTGAAACACCTGAAACAATCCAAGTGATCAGTTGAGAAACGAACATGGGTTGTAATATCCCGAAACGATATATATCTTTTAAAATATTTGATTGTTACAGAGGCACGTGACATCGAATAAGTTTCTTTGTACAGCTGCAGACGAGTGGGATATTGTTCCTTTGTGTGGATATTCACGGATACATTCCTCGAACAAGGAAGCTGCCTAAAATTTATACACATAAATTTGGTAGGTTGTAATTATGGTATTTGCATTTTGTTTTCCTTCATTTGAACCGATAATTTGTTCTTGTTTCTCTACGTCTTGGTTGGGAAATTCTTCAATGCACGATAGACGTTGTTTTCACAGGTCTTTTCCTTTGTAAGCGTGTATATATTACCGTCAATTTGTAAAATGTGATTCTCTCAGGCAATATATAAAATGTGTAAATATTTCAGTCCTTTATTCCAAATTTAAAAATTCCAAAAATTCAATACAAGCAACCCCTAAAAGCCCCCTCTTGGGTTGCACACACCACTTTCACCCTTTTCGGAATACACTAAATGGTCCGGCCAGGGCCGTGTGCGAAATACGCTACAGTCAGAAAGGACACGTTAAATCTTCTATATCAGTCAGTCAGTCAGTCATTTTGACTAAAAAATCTGTCCAGATTGATTAAGACTATCAAAAGGGCCTACAAACATCACAACAGATTATCATGTAGGATTAGAAGCCAAACAACATAGAAATGTACTTTTCAACGTAACATTTTCAGTCTCTTGGTGATGACATTAAACATCAAAATGTTTGGAATTCGTTATCATAATAATAGAGATGGAAATGTTTTTCATGTCAATTTGTAAAATAACTGAATATTTAGACGTTTAATAAATATGTTACACATTTTGACAGTAAAATAATATACACACTATAAAAAAAGCAATGCTCAGGTGAAATATTTACTTTATGTGGCAAGTAAAAATAGTGTAAATGAAAATCGCAAAATTACCAAGCAAGTGACTTATCAAAACTTCGTCACCATTACCAATGCTACCCACAAAGATACCTACATTTCCTTATTATCTCGAAAACTGTATATCATTTTGTTGATCAGTGTGACCATACGCCCTTATTACTACCGGTATCCATAAAAGTGACTAATGCGCTTACGAATAGCGCAGCAGAGGTCGTGAACTAGTCTAGATTTCTGCTATACATCCGGGTACTCACTGGGAAAAAACAATAACAAAGCCAACAACCAGTCCCGGGGAATTGCGTTAGATAAGTGCCCCTTTAAAAACAAAACAAACATCAATATATTTCCATACATACATTGAGGTCTGGATCATGTATATGCTACTATCTAGTGATGGGAAGAGGTTAAAATTCAACTTTTATTATTGTATTGTAAACAATGTTGATTGTATGACGATCAATTATAAACATGATAAATGAGAATAGGTTTTTATCACATTTGAAACATTCTCTGTCAGTGTCCTTCACTTTAAAACAAACAACAAAATATCAAGTAGCAATATCCTTAAACGCTACAAGTACTTCACTATACTACTTCCCTATAGTTAAATACTACACGTACTTCACTATACTACTTCCCTATAGTTAAATACCATATGTACTTCACTATACTACTTCCCTATATTTAAATGCTATATGTACTTCACTATACTACTTCCCTATATTTAAATGCTATATGTACTTCACTATACTACTTCCCTATATTTAAATGCTATATGTACTTCACTATACTACTTCCCTATATTTAAATGCTATATGTACTTCACTATACTACTTCCCTATATTTAAATGCTATATGTACTTCACTATACTACTTCCCTATATTCAACAACACAAGTGTATTTCAATTGACCTTATTACATTATCAAGTAATTGTTGGTTAAAGGTTACAAAAAACAAATAATAATAAAATAGATGTTGACAAGAAAGAAAGGATAGACAGTGAGTGACAGTAATAGGCAACATAATAGAAGCAGAGACAGACACAAGACTGTGAACCTGAGACAGGTGAAAACCTTCACAGACAAGTTGTTTTATCCCAACATCAAGTTAGTTTACAAAAAAAACACAAGCCAGAAATAAGCTGCGGACTAGTTGGATATGACCAGTGGTGTCTTCCACTGACACACACAATAATACATGCCTGGGATAGCAGCGTGCCCATTATCAGCCAGATGCACACACAGGTCAAATGACAAGGAACTAGATCTGGATGACTGATGTCAGGATATCACAAGACCAAGGCATGGTGTATTGTTCTTAAAATCCTGTTACATAAATAGATACTAGTCTCTCATGCATGACATGGCGACAATTTTTTCCTTCGGTTTAAAGATTTGAAGAAGGAAGCCAAAAGCCGGAAACAAAATAAAATAAAATATAATGTGTGAACTATTTTTATTTGCCTCAGTTCTCGTTCTGGGATACATCTGAAAAATAAAATGATGCGACTACGAAACTAAAGTAACTGTAAGTAATTGCAGTAATTGATCATATGCATTGTATGTTGTCTCTTGTGTCAGTGAAAACCCCTAGAACAAAACTATCCTAGAAGTAGATTTGTTTGTGTAAAGATATTTATCCTATAAACAGAATGAACATTTCTTTCCCTAACTGGCTACGAAAACAACTTTCTGCCAAATAAAAAAGTATTCAGCTACACAAATGTACTTATATTTCTCCCATCCATTGCGGCCTAAATAAAGACGTCGTGACCTAGATGCTGTAATGTATGACCTTCCAACACGTAACTGTACATCTTTGTATACATCTTTAACAAGATACCATGTTTCTTTGCTTGTTACTCAGACAATGTCCAGCTATACGACTGTGACCTGTATGTTATCAAGTCTTGACCAGACAATGATAGGGATTATGAGCAACTCTCCACGTTATCAACAATGTCAACAACCCTGACCACCAAACCTATTATTTCACCTCACACAACAAGCACCTGTTGCTTAGGACCAATTCAAACTTGTAACCCAGAGCTTACATTGAAACATATTGCATACAGTGGCTTATGTTATTGAGGACCAATTCAAACTTGTAACCCAGAGCTTACATTGAAACATAATGCATACAGTGGCTTATGTTATTGAGGACCAATTCTAACGTGTAACCCAGAGCTTACATTGAAACATATTGCATACAGTGGCTTATGTTATTGAGGATCAATTCTAACGTGTAACCCAGAGCTTACATTGAAACATATTGCATACAGTGGCTTATGTTATTGAGGACCAATTCTAACTTGTAACCCAGAGCTTACATTGAAACATATTGCATACAGTGTCTTGACCAGACAATGATAGGGATTATGAGCAACTCTCCACGTTATCAACAATGTCAACAACCCTGACCACCCAACCTATTATTTCACCTCACACAACAAGCACCTGTTGCTGAGGACCAATTCAAACTTGTAACCCAGAGCTTACATTGAAACATATTGCATACAGTGGCTTATGTTATTGAGGATCAATTCTAACTTGTAACCCAGAGCTTACATTGAAACATAATGCATACAGTGGCTTATGTTATTGAGGACCAATTCTAACGTGTAACCCAGAGCTTACATTGAAACATATTGCATACAGTGGCTTATGTTATTGAGGATCAATTCTAACGTGTAACCCAGAGCTTACATTGAAACATATTGCATACAGTGGCTTATGTTATTGAGGACCAATTCTTACACAGAATCCAGAGCTTACAATGAAACATATTGCATACAGTGGCTTATGTTATTGAGGATCAATTCTAACGTGTAACCCAGAGCTTACATTGAAACATATTGCATACAGTGGCTTATGTTATTGAGGATCAATTCTAACTTGTAACCCAGAGCTTACATTGAAACATATTGCATACAGTGGCTTATGTTATTGAGGACCAATTCACTAATATATGTTGCACCATACCCAGACAATGTCTAGATAAATCCCAGTTGCAAGGATGAAAAGATGAAATATAACACTGTACAACAAAGATTTAATTTCTTTCCATTATTTATCTACTGTGGACATGCTAGACAGCTAATTATTTAAATCTGTCCACAGGAAGGTAAAGCATGACTCCTTAAAAGATTAAATATAATATACTTCATTGTAGATAAGCAGCTACAAGCCATGTAACAAAAACAATGCCTCACCATGGCCTTAAACATCAAGGCCACAAAACAGGAACTGCTTGTTTTTTCATCTCAAAATATACATTATTTTTCCGTCGTGTGGTCTAGACATTGTTAATCGAACTGTGTTAAACTGACACATAGTATGTAAAAAACAGTGATATAGTCTTGAAGTGATAAACGGCATGCTATTCTGAGATATGGTATAGAAGCTGTAAATAGTATTTCAAAGTGAAACATAGTCTAGACCTTGTAAATAAACAAATGCTGCACATTTCCACACATCAAACACTGCATTTCTAATAACATTGCTACTAGGGCTGAAAGGATGCAATGAAGTAACTATACAACATTTGTCCCAACACTCTGCAAAACATTTGTACTGTTATACACTGTTTCAGAATAAATGTATGTGAGTATTTTCCATTTTTGATATAATAGAGGAAAACAAAACCCAACAATTTCCAAAGACACTTCTTGATGTCACACTCGTTTCCAGTTATTTTACAACACCAAATAATGATTACTATGAAACACGGACTTAGACAAATCGAAAATGTGAAGGCAGTTCCTGCTATATTCCCTTAAACTCATAAGAAGTTATCACCCAGAAAAAACGGAACCAATAATCTTTGACCTTGTAGGTCGCCGCCTCCTCCCAGTACAATCCCCCTTCTCATTTCTATTTCATATTTCAACCTAGAACTTTATAGAATTTCATAAACGACATGTTAAGTTAACATTAAAGCCTTTTCCCAAAATACCCTGGTTATACAATATCTGATGTCCACATGAAACACTTTATGAAATGATCCACATATTGATTCAGTATGAAGTGTATCCTTTAGTGTATTGCTGAGATTGACATTATTGGGGACCAGAGCATCAATGAATCATTTCAGCCATAATTGTTACACAACACCTTGAAACTCCAGTCATTAATGATCAGTATGGATGAAACAGGCATGCAAGTAGAGAGAAAAGAAAGACAGTGGTTAGTGACTGTTCCCACAACCAGTGGTCCATGACCCATGCAATCTGAACAACTCACAGTTGGAGGATAGTTTGACCATCTTTCTCTGTTCCGGAATGACATCTGAAGACAACCATGCTTGTTATGTCAATGTTACTTTTTGCAACAAACATTTTGGCCTACCACTGCTGTCATATTTCAATTGTTATTTTTGTCACATATCGTGTTACTTTACTCTGATAATACTTTCCCACTGATCATTGAATAATCACCTTCAGTATAAGTAGTAGTATACTTACTGAGAGTTTTGTCAAAATTGTTATTACCGTATTCGTTGAATAAGAGCCCAGAGCACTCTCAAAATTAGAAATAGGAGGCTCTTATTAGAATGGTATTTTGGTGAGAGAAAAAACAGTTGAAAGATAAATTTTGTGGTTTATGCTGACAGCCCGAAATGTTTATATACAAAAGATATATTTTTTCTGAATTTAATTGCCAATAATTAAGAATGCATATAAAACACAAGTGCGTATTATACACCAATAAATAAGTCTTGTGTACATTGATCAATCGTAAGGGGTGCTAATTGGGATTGTTCACAAGCCAATATATTAACAAATATCGCCGTGGGTGCCTATTAGAGCGGGGCGCTTATTACATGGAATACGGTATATATTATGAACATATTTTTGACACTGATCATTATATAAATTGTGTAAGTTGCAAAACAGACACAAGGGCGGATACAGCTTTTTTGAAAAGGGGGGTGCACAATTAAGATCTATTTATTGTCTTTGGTGGTAATTTATACAGAAATAAAGATTTTTTTCGTAATAAAAAGGAGGGGTGCGCACCCCCCCTCTGTATCCGCCCATGAGACACATCAACTTTACTGTTATATCTTGGCATGTATAACAATCAATCATCAGTTATACTCTCACTTTTACATCAAACAGAAGTCACAAAGACCTTCATTAATGGAGTTTCATAAATTACCCTATTTTCGATCAGTTAAGATGGCATTGCTGATATTTCGATGGATCAGTGAATCAAAATTCAAATTCTGCTTTATACCAGAAGGTGATGTTTCCAGCAATACAATTCAGCTACACTCCGAAAGAAAATCATCAATAAAAGGTGTGACATCCATTGCCTCATCTGTAAACTTCCGCTGCACTGTTGTGATGTCACCTACTTTCGAACACCTGATTGGTTTGGTACTTTAGCGGCATTTCCATGAATGAACAGACATGGTTTTTTTTATGCACAGCTCTTAACATAACTCTTACAGATCAGCATTAAAACTCAAAAAGTACAGTCAAGTCCCGTTAATCCGACATTGTTGGTTGCATATGATTATGTCGAATTAACAAGTATGTCGGATAAACAAAATTAGGTAGTATCAACATTCGTGATCGAAAATTGGACAACTTTCAAAATACTTTTTAAAGCATAGTCTGGAATGGAAGTCGCTAATTTGAAACTAGTGCCGCAATGCTTAAGAAAGCTGCTTTTTCAGTGGCTAATGTCGACACCTGTCAGTAATTTCATTGGTTGGTCAAAGTTTGCGAAAGGTCGTTCTGACGTGACCTGTAATGGAATGTCTTAAGCGGTAGCGAGAACTTGTATCTGTTTTTAATGAGATTGAGGTAATCTAGGCATGTGATTAATCCTGTTTTGTTTATTTAAAGCATTAATTGTTTATTGTTAAGCAAGTTTATCTCTGCAGCCGTTGAAATATGCAGCTACTCGCCAACTCGTCTTGCATCAAAACACGGGTCTGTGTACACGGTGATCACTGTGTCGGATTAATGAGTGAGCGAGTGTATGAGTGATTTCAGCATTTCATTGCAAATTAGGTGTGTCGGATTAGGAGTGCGAAACTGTCGGATTAACGGGTCTAAAAAGCACTGATTAAATCGGTTCCCATCAATTGTGTCGGATAAAGCCGATTGTCTGATAAACGAGTGTCGGATTACGAGACTTGACTGTAATTGAAAGTTTGAAACCTGTTGACAAAAGATGAATATTTGTCAAATTATAGGGCTCATATTAGTTTACTCTTCCTTTTCATCATGACACAGCCACCAAAATTCTGTCTACACTATTAAGACGGCAGCTTTGATGACGTAACCTCTCGTTATAACGCGTCAAATCACTATCAATATGGCTGTTCGAAAATGGGTGTCATTTGAAACAAATTGGGTACTTGATGACATACAAAGTTCACATTTTTCAGAACCATGTTCAAATTATGTCTGAACGAGATTTAGAAGTTGGTGATCATTATAGTATTAATACAGACATTCTTTAATAATAATCTCCCTGTGTTATGGGTTTTCCGATGATTACGAAACATTCATATTTTCCTCACTTATCACAAGAATAACTGTAAAACATCTCACACACTTATAAATGACGACTTTATCTTAACAAAGTCATCATCTGAGTATTTACAATGTCTGTGTGACGCAACACCCCTCTTTATACATGTTACAGCCAGAGTAATCGCCATAAACATTGCAGTCCGAAAATGTATGTCTGAAAACCTATGATCCGAAAATAACAATGATAATAAATATAATAATAACAACAACAATAATCTTCGTTACAGACGTATACAGGCGTATATATGTATACAAGATATTGACTGAACATTGTCCACATATCCGCTTCCACAACGGGCCTGTCAGCTGATGCTAGGATGACTAACACTGTCATAATTTTCCTTAAGTGAAAGTTGACAGGAAAATTCGGGTGAACATGAAGAGATTCATAAATAAGATGTTATCTGTCACCCCTTTGATTTACAATAGACACCTACAAAAGGGTTGTGTCGCCGCCTACTGTCTGTTGACGATGAGCGATCTCTGTTAGAGCCCAGCAGAGACTCTCTGTCCTCCGCTTCCGCCATTCTATGTTTACATCGATCACGTGCTTTCCTCAACGTTATAAAATGTGGTTCGGAAATATAACGAAAAAGTATTCAACACAAAAAGTTCAACGATGAGCCTATAGGTTTCCGAAGCAAAGTGCATCCTTTGATATTATTATATACTATATTTTATCTAAGCTACTATATAATGGGCATCACACCTTGATCTATAGAAGGGACGTGGCGATTTGGAACTTCAAGACTATATTAACTGGCAAAAAAAGTCAACTCTGTTTTCACTGTGACGTTTGGCTGAGGTGCCTTTTTAGCCTGCATCACTTCATTAGTACCTCTTCTAATTGTCGTTTAAAAGTATAGTTTATCGGTTATGTAGAATCCTTGGCTGTACGGGTTTTTCATCTGGAGTCATAATGAGTATGATATAGAGGATTAGGGAAGCACATGGATTTCTTTTCGTAAGAGAGTTCCATTTCAAACTCTTTCAGAACCCAGACCGCTCAAGGTCAAGGCTGCTGAAACCATTCGGATCATATCGGAGAATTACGATCGGCTACGTTTGCTTGAAAATTCGAATGACATTGAAACTTACACTGGGCTATTCCGATTGAGTAAGCGTGCGCGACCACTATGGCGGACGATGATGATCCCGTCGAACATGAGGTTTGTAACAGGTTATGAACATGCTCTTGAAACTAGGGCATAGAAACATTAATGACCAATAGAGAAGAAGCTTGTCTTTTATCTAAGTTATCTGAAGAGTCCAGCTGATGCCGGGTAATGCATGACATGACACAAATTTTCGATGTAGGCCTACAAGTCAACAACGTTAGACCGTTCTTCAGTTTAGATATTTCACGATCGAGGGGTCGAGCTCTCAGTATGTAAATCCATAATTCTAGTTATATACATTTTTAAAAGGTTCAAGCCACTGAAAGACATCTGCACATCCCGTAAGAATGTATTTTCCATTTTCATCTGTCAGTTGCTGTGTAATTTTGTTCAATCAGAATTGCACAACTTGTTGAGAATGTTGCATTTGCAGACACACGCTTTTGATTATATCTGACAATGTTATAAGCGACACTGTGTATACTATTTATTTTGTCACCTGAAACTGGAATACCCGGATAAGTATCCTGCTTTAGTCACTATGTTATACATGTTTACAGGGTCATGGTTGGTTGGTTTGTGGTTTAACGCCGCACACAGCTATATGGCGGCGGTATGTAAATAATCGAGTCTGGACCAGACGATCCAGTGATTAATATCATGAGCATCGATCCATGCGATTGGGATCGATGACATGCATCAACCAAGTCAGCGAGCCTGACCTCTCGATCCCATCAGTCGCCTCCTACGACAAGCATAGTCACCTTTTACAGCAAGCATGGGTTGCTGAAGACCTTTTCTACCCCGGAATCTTCACAGGTCTACAGGGTCATAGTGTCTATATATATATAGCTCTTGACAAATTATATTTTCAATGAAAATATTTGATGTCCTGAAAGATGAATGTTTCGGAAACAAGGAGTCAAATATGCCTTAAAGTGGCACTGATCACTCACAAATCACCATGACTGGTTGTTGCCTTTGATATTTTTCCCCCCATGGATACTTGGATGATATGCCAGAAATCTTGAATAGTTATCAACCTGTGCTGCATCATCCCTAAGCGCATTTGTCACTTTTATTGATAGTATGAGGGGGTATCATCACATTTATCAACAAGATGAAGTACAGTTTTGTCTTTGAAATAATAAGGAAATCACTTGTTTGTATTGTGTAATATTCGTTTACACTATTTGGACTTGAAAACACAAATTAAATATTTCACCTGAGCATTGCTCATTTTATCGTGTGTATATGTTTTATTCAATGTGTAAAATAACTAACATTTTTACTTAGACAGTTTATTAATGCCTAAATATTAAGTTATTTTACAAATTGATTCAAGATCTTTCCATTTATTTCTTTATGATAACGATTTCCAAACATTTTATTTTATTTTTTAAAATTGTTTTTATTCATTCCAGAGGGTACATAGTTATCATATCATAGGAGGCATCAAATTACATGTTAATTATAATGAGAAAAATGTACAGGAAGTGATACATGATACATGATAAAGTTGATACATTGTAATAATTGCAGGAGATACAGATTAAGGAAGCTAGTCCGTCTGCATTATGGTTTTCTCCATTAAACTCCATTTTTTAGTGCTTTTTTGCAAGGAACAATTCAACATGATTAATATCTTTCAGTATATTTCTATATGACTTAAAATATGGTTTTACTCCTTTAATATGTGTTACCGAAATGTGTCTTTTTGCTAATATCAATAAGTGATTTAATAAGATGTTTGTATCTCCAAAATAGATGTCTTGTTTTGTAATGAAAACATGTCCGAAAGTAACATTAATGAAGGCATTAAAATTCACCCCCGCATTCATTAACACAAGAACATTCTAAATATACATGAGCGATGTTTTCACTGTCTGAATTGCAAAATGAACATAGGTTGTTGTCAACCAAGTTCATCGTTAACAATTCCTTTTTAGTGTACCCGGGGTTTTGTGCAGTGACAACAAAACAATTGAGTACAATCAAATGTTTATTATATACAATACTTGGCATAAGATTCGGGGGCTGACTCGGTTTTGGAAAGGTAACTTACGCAGCGGGTAAGTAGTCTAAAAAGGCAGCCCTGCGGGTTGCATAAGTAAATTGAAATATATATGAAAATGATTTAGAACCCTGCGGGTAGATCTAAAAAGATAAAATGAAAATATGTAGAAAGGGTGATACCCTGCGGGTATGAGTGAAAATGAAAATACTTTGGGGGCCACAAGCCATATAATGATAGTGTACAGAATGATTGGCTTGCAAAGCCCCTTCCGAGCCAGCCCCTTGGTGGAGATGGGGATGGATGGAGGGTCGTAATGACAGCTGAGAGAACAATGGAAACAAGCTGAACGACATTGAGGCTCTTGTTGTTAATATAGAAAAACAAAATGTTGCACATCCGTAGTACTGCGCATGCCCAGGGAAAAATATTTTGCATTCTGGGCTAGAAAATAGTAACTTGATACAGAGAAGAAATGTAATCGTTCACAGACGATTCTGAATGATAAATGACAACTGGAAATAAAATGAAAAACCTTACGTAGGTGACAAATATATACATCTGTTTTGTAGACATGAATGTTAATAATAGGTGAAAGGATATGTTGATCACTGCACAAACAAAAATATATAATTAACATTTTGTGCAGTGACAACAAAACAATTGAGTACAATCAAATGTTTATTATATACAATACTTGGCATAAGATTCGTGGGCTGACTCGGTGTTGGAAAGGTAACTTACGCTGCGGGTAAGAAGTCTAAAAAGATAGCCCTGCGGGTTGCATAAGTAAATTGAAATATATATGAAAATGATTTAGAACCCTGCGGGTAGATCTAAAAAGATAAAATGAAAATATGTAGAAAGGGTGATACCTTGCGGGTATGAGTGAAAATGAAAATACTTTGGGGGCCACAAGCCATATAATGATAGTTTACAGAATGATTGGCTTGCAAAGCCCAAAACGAGGTAAAAAACCGAGAGCCCTTTCACTGTCTGAATTTCAAAATGAACATAGGTTGTTGTCAACCAAGTTCATCATTAACAATTCCTTTTTAGTGTACCCGGGGTATATAATTTTGTGTAGGAATTTGAATTTGAATTCTAATAGTTTTGTATCTATTGTAGATTTTCTATATTGTAAAAATACATATTTCCAATTAATTTGATTGTTAAATTCTTGTTCCCACTTCTCACAAATTTCTGGAAAGTTAGATGATGAAACGAAGTTGTCATAAAATATCCTAGAACCTTTGCTTGTCTCAAGTAAATCAAGCCATGGAGAAGAAATGTTTAGTTGCACGTGTTTAGATTATTTGAATCATAAACAAGATTTTTCCATGGCTTAGGGATGTTTAAGAGCAAACGGTTATAGTCTAATAAGGTACCTTTTATTCCATACATTACTTTCAGCTCAGGGAATGGAATAAAGCCGTTCGAGTCACATAAATCCTGTACATGGCAAATACCCCTTGTATACCAATTTCTGATAATGAAATCCGGAAATTTACATTTATTATTGTACCACAATGGTTGTATTAAAATTATATTAACAATTTTTTTGTTTATTTTGTGAGTTTTTATATATTTGGTCCAAGCGTCTAATGTGTCTTTCCAAAATGTTTTTGTGATATTGAAGTGTTATGAATATTAGCACCCAAACGAAAGATGTCTTGTAAGGGAAAGCCTAAAAGAGGGTAGCTGTTTGTTTGGAAATATATCGTTTGATACACGATACCTTAAGTGAGTAAATAAACATTGTAATATCAACCATTCTAAGGCCACCATCTTCATATTTTCGAACTAGGTTTACTCTTTTTATTTTGTCTTTCTTTCCATTCCATATGGAATTGAAAAAAATGCTGTTTAATTCTTTTATAAATTCTTTTGGGGGATTTGGAAAAGTGGTTAATATATGAACTATAGTTGACAAAGCCAAGGTTTTTATTACGATTATTTTGCCTATTAATGTCAAGTTGCGTTTCCGCCAGTTTGAAAGAATTCTTTTAATTGTTTCCAGTCTTTTTCTAGTGTTGATAACCCAAAGGTTTATCAAATCAGCATTTAGTTTAATTCCAAGTACATCCTAGTCTGCGTTGTGCCAGTCCAATGTCAAATCAGGACATAGTGTGAGTGAACTCCCTGCCATTGAGCCTATCCATACAGCTTTAGTTTTGTCTGTGTTTATTTGTAAGCCAGACATTCTATAGAACTTACTCAGTGTATTTACTGCTTCATTTAGAGACGTTGCTGAGCCATCTAAAAATAGTTCGGTGTCATCGGCATATTTACCTATTACGTGCTCTCTTTCTCCAAGGACTGTACCTTTCATATTTGTATTTTTACTTATCATTATCCCTAGTATTTCTGCGACGAAAAGAAACAAGTATTGGGAAATCGGATCTCCTTGTCTACATCCTCTCTCGTTGCCGAAAAATGATGACAAGTGACCGTTTTGTATGACACAAGGAGTAGAGTTTGAGATCAGGATATTTACCCATGTTTGCATATAAGTTCCAAAACCAAATTTATTTAAAACCTTCATAATGAATCTTTTAGAAACTGTGTCAAAGGCTTTTTCAAAATCAATTAATATTAATAGGCCTTCTTCTTTAATATTTTTGTTTCGGAGATGATGTCATATAAGAGTCTAATGTTTTCGCTAACACACCTACCCGGGATAAATCCTGTCTGGTTATCGTTGATAAGGAGATCCAGTGTCTTTTTTATCCTATTTGTTACACAAGTGCTAATAATCTTATATAAAGCATTTAAAAGAGAAATGGGCCTCCAATTTTTTAGTAAACGTCTATCTTTATTTGGTTTTGGAATGCATGTTATAACTCCTTTATTCATTGTTAAACTTAAAGAGTTGTTTTTGAAAGTGTCCTTGATATAGCGATAGATCCAAATGTTGATGTCTTTCCAAAAATATTTGAAAAATTTGATAGGAAAACCATCCAGTCCCGGGCTCTTATTATTTTTCATTGACTTTATAGCAGCAGCTATCTCGTTAAATTTTTATTTCTTCATCTAGTTCTTCTGAAAGATTTTTATTTAAAGTTGGAGTGATTATGTCTTTTAAACAATCGAAACTTTCAGCGTCAATATTGTCTATCGATTTTTTTGTAAAAGTTTTTCTGTTCGGTTATTATTAAAGAACCATCTGTTATTTCCTCACCTTTATCAGTAATAATAGTATTGATAAGTTTATTTGTATAGTTCCTGTTTCCTAATTGGCAAAAGTAATTAGTTGGTTTCTCCCCTTCACCACTGAATTCCTCTCATTTCTTCTTCTTTAATTGTAAGATCCAAAGGTTCTTCAGGGATATTTTTAATATCTTCATTATCATATTTAGGATCTGCGTATTCACATTTAGTTTTGTTTAAAATATGTATTACCATTGCTGCATATTCATCTTTTCGTAGTAATGATGTATTAAACTTCCAATATCCTCTCCCCCTTTCTTTATTTTGGTGATTGGATAGCGACAATGTAATGGCGGAGTGATCAGTTTTGTAGCCGGGTGAGATTGAAGAATGAACTGTGACATTAAAAAGATCTTCAGACACCAGAAAAAAGTCTAGGCTAGCTTGTTGACGAGGGTTGTTTTTCCACCCAGTTAATGTATTGTTGTTTGGATGTAGTTCTCTCCATGCATCTATTAGGTTTAATGATTCAATTTGATCTAAGACTAATTTCCTTGCATTAGGATTGTTGATATTTTTATAGTTTTGTAAGTCTATTGAAGGATCAAGGACAAAGTTCCAATCTCCACATACCGTATTCGACGTAATAAGCACCCCGCTCTAATTAGCGCCCACGGCGATAATTGCTAACATATTGGCTAGTGAACAATCCCAGTTAGCACCCCTTCCGATTGATCAATGTACACAAGACTTATTTATTCGCGTATAATACGCACTTGTATGTTATATGCACCCTTAATTATGGGCAATTAAATTCTGGATATATATATCTGTCGTATATAAACATTTCAGGCTGTCAGCATGAACCACGAAATTTATCTTTCAACTCTGTTTTTTCCATCAAAATTATATTCTAATAAGAGCCCCCTATTCATAATTTTGAGAGCGCCCTGGGCGCTTATTACGTTGAATACGGTATTACTAAGGAGTCATTACCCATATCATAAATTTTTTCAAATAATGTTTTTCAAAATGAAGGGTGATTGGAGTTTGGCCCATACACTGTGGTGAGCGTAAACTTTATACCATCTACCGTAATGTCTAAAATAATATAATTGCCATTATCGTCAACACAAGTCTTGTGTATTTTATATTCAAAATTGTTGTTGAAGAGGATTGCTACACCTCATGCATTTGACTTGTACGGTGCAATAACACTATCAAGTCCCCATTCATTTTTCATAAGATTTTCATTATCTTTGGAAATATGAACATCTTGCAAACAAATGATAGAGAATTTCTTTTTTCTATATAAATTCATGACTTCTTTTCTTTTGGTCTTTGCAGCTAGGCCTCTACAATTAACTGAGACTATATGTATTTTATCATTTACTCCCATGTATTACTAATTCATCTTTCTCTTGAAATATCGGCATGTACCAACTGGAATGAGTTTTTGTTTTGCATAACGATAGAAGATGATAAAGAGAATAAAAACAAAGAAATATCCTTTGTTGCCATGAGCTCTGGCTTTTGAGATGGAGAAGGCAACTACCTTCCCATGGATTAGTAGGATAGTCATAATCATACATTTATCCATATACACCTACATGGACATACACACACATATACATATACCCGTAAATAAACACATATATACATTATACATGCGTAAACACGGCTGCCAGCACATATAGCACATGCATATAGTAGCAATATGAAGAGACGGGTTAAAGCAAACAGGCTATAGTTAAATTGTTTCACGCTGTTACTTACATATTGTGCTTGTGAATAAGCAGTTCCAAATGTCCTCACGAATATACACTGACAAATTAGAATCGCCACAAAATAATGTCTTGTCCTTGCCACAAAACTGCGAGAATCCATCGGGGCAACACATGTTTGCACTCGTTTTCCCTACTTCTCTCGACTTGCGGGTGCATGTTATAAATAGCCAGGAGGTCGACGAGTACAACTCTACACATTGAGTGTCCAACATTTTGTCTGTGTGTAGAAACCTATCTTACGACCCAAACTGGACATGTAACAATCTGTCAAAATGTTGACTATGGAAAATAAATTACTCCCAAAAATAATACAAATTCTACAGTTTCTATATGCCGTAAAAAAAAGACTCCTGGTCTCCAGGATGACTTTGGCTGCGACAACTCTTATCCTTGTCCAGATCTTGTTATCAGTGTCATGAATTGATGCAGCTTCCCTACTCAGAATCGCTCGTCTCTTCTTTAAAATGGCTGGCAAGTCAGTTTGGATACTTATCCAGGTTTCTCGTAGTAGTTTCCTGCTCCATAGTCATCTACTCGGGCTTGTGAGAATTTTAGTTTATCGACGAGGAATGCCCGAACAATCCGTTCTGTATTTTTTTCCGGGGATTCCAGAATTCGATAGATGAGCAAGTTTGGTTTTCTGTCATGGATTTCCTTAAGGGTAACCTGTTTCTCTAGCTGAAAAAGACGGCTTCTTTCGGTTGATAGCTCCTCACGTAGTTTCTTGATTTCACTATTGTGATTCGCAACGTCATGTTCAATTGCCCTCTACCGCTAAAGAAAGATATGAGGACATCATTTTTACAGGTCACATCAGAACGATTTTTTGCGAACTTTGACTGACCAGTGATATGACTACCTGGTTACAAGAACTGGACTCTAGCCAATCAGAAAGCAGCTTTCTCGAGCATTATGGCACTAGTTTCAAACTGGCAACTTCTATTGCAGACTCTGCTTTTAAAAATTGAAAACTGAACAAAAGATTCGAATAAGGAAGAGAATTTATGAATGTCAACTTCTTTATTATGAGGAACACAACGTTTGGGAGTATATACTTACTCCTTCATCAGGTGAATATTCGCTGTGAGACTAGAGTGTCTAATAGATGGCCAAGATTGTATGGCAGGACGTCCTATAGGCTTTGGAAAGTCACTTTCATTTCAAATGTTTTTGCCATTGAAGTGAGTGATAGATGATGCTTTTGAAGGAATCAGTCATACATCACCGAACCATTATATGCTGTCGAACTGTCGTTCAGAATACCCTGTGTTACGCTTTTCGAGGTTGCATGATTAGAAAACACACTCCAACTGTCACTTTCCTGATTTGGTAAGCGATGCTCTGATTGGTTGGATGAAAGGTCATTCTGATGTGACCCATAATGGGATGTCGTCAGATGTTTGTTTGGCAGTAGCGAGAACTGAGATCTGAATTTTATGTGATTGGCACCATAGTTGTAATTTCCTTTCAGACATGGTAGACACATTGATGATTCCATTTGAAATGATTGATTACAACTGAGTAATTGTTTTGTTGTTTTTTTCCAGATTAACGTGTACCTCTCAAAGAGCTTGGCACAAAATTTATGCCTATTTCAGGTAAGAAAATTGAACAAGAACTGGATCAGTGTTCTGGATTAGTTCAAAATGCTAACATTGTAGGTTTGTTTGTTTAACGCTGCACTTAGCAAAATTGCAGCTATATGACGGCAGTCTGTAAATAATCGATTCTGGACCAGACAATTCAGTGATTGATGTCATGAGCATCGATCTACGTAATTAGGATTGGATGACATGCATCAACTAAGTCAGAGAGCCTGACTACCCGAACCTGTTAGTCACTTCTTATGACAAACTTTTGTTGCTGAAGAGCTAGTCTAACCTGGATCTTCACAGGTCTTACATTGTAGGTAAGATCCCTTGTCAATAAAGCAAAGAAATTTCATAACTAGATTCAAACAGTTGGCCTTTGGTTTGGAGTTTTAAGACACAACAGGTTATTTTGTCTGTGAGTAACCTCAACATGTTCAAGCACTAGTCTACATAAAAAATATGTATGAAGAAAATACTTTTCTTATTTTAACATATGAGCTCTCACTGCCTCGTTGTTTCTTATGACAAGTTAGCTTGGTAAGGGTCTCTGTAGTTTAGCAACTGAAGTTTGCAAAATGGCAACACAATGGGTCTAATAAGTAGCAGCAATAAGTAACAGGCCCTAGAATTAAAGTTAGCACACGCCAAAATGTTTAGAATATTGTCACTGTTGATCGACTTAAAGGAAGCCTGTCTTGGTTCCTGATTCCAGAATATTGGTGGAAGCTGGCAGGATTTCAGTGTTTCCAAAGAGTTATTAAAACTGCACTTGGCAAGTAAATTTTGAAACAAGTCAGGTCCAAAAAGGGCCTCTATCACCCTCTTGTCATGTACACAACAAGGGTAGATAACTGTCATTCTCGTATGAAACTATTCTGGAAAGATTCGCTCAATGCTGTTGACTGCTGTTCAAATCTGGTCATGACAGCACTTGATATTTTGTTTACTAGCAGTTAAGTTGCTGCCATAGACATTTACTAAATTACTACAGATATATTTACCACAGTTTTTACCACCTCTAAGATTATTCAAAACGATTAGCATTTGAGGGTTGTCAGGGCTCCAAGTCTGCAGCAAATGTTATTAACAATTCCAAAACTGGTATTAAATTTTTTTCTAATTTATGTAAAAAACTTATAACTAAATTTATAGCTTTGTAGAGGTAACATGTATTTCACTTATAACAGGACCAATAAAGAGCTAGAGGTTTTAATGCTAAGTTTTATATAATTTCATTGAATGCAGTCTCAAAATACAATGTTAAAATACAATGTTGAAATATCTCTGAATGTAAAAGAATAAGAACTTTTTAGATTCCAATATTGAGCATTATAACAATTTCTTGCCCAAATTTGCCTGCAAGGGGCAGTTATCAAAGTCCTGGATAAGTCCCTGGTTGTGCATGGTGTTATCCCAGTGGTAGTTGGGAGTATAGGAAGGTGTAAGTGTTGCAGGAGAGGTGTACATGGGCTGATGTTGTTGCATGTGGCATGTTGCAGTACCCGGTGCGGCCAGCTCACATGACGTACGATTCAGTCGCACACCTGTCTGCTCGGGTCAAGCCGACTCAGAAGAAGGTAAGAGACATCATCACGTCAGTAGGGTACACATATATTTAGCATAGTTCGGCATATATCTAGAATGTTTAACAAAGTGTTTGTGGCAAGCAATTGATTACATCTATAAACAGGCAGTTTCATGAATTACACAGATCAACAACAGTTTCCAAAGTAGTTATTCCACATTTTAGCACATTGTCATTTCCAAACTGAAACGCACAGTCTAACTTAGAAATCATTATGCACAGAACTCAAGTGTCAAATCAGTATCTGACACAGTTTCAGGTTTACAATAAAAACATCAATACAATGGGTCAGATTGCAATAAGTAACAGGCTCGAGAATTAATGTAAGCAACTCACAAATATGGAGAGTTTTGTCACACACTTTCGAAGGTCTTGAAATGCCTGTCTCAGTGCTTAAATGCAGAATAGTGTTGGAAGCTGGCCCAATCTCATTAAAATCAGATCTTAGTTCTCGTTACCGCTAAACAAAGATCTGAGGACATCCCATTGTAGTTCACGCCAGAATGACCTTTCATGAACTTTTACTAACCAATAAATGAACGATTGTATGGCAGTGCTTCCCATGTACGGTGCAACGCCTCCTCCGTTCAAATGTTCATCTATGGAAGCGAGAGATAGACGATGATTATGATGGAATCAGTCGTACAGGCCATAACTGATGTTTGGAATTACACCGCGTTTACCTTTCCGAGGTTGCATGATTAGAAACCATGTTGTTCCGAATGTCACTTCCCTGATCAGGTAAGAAAGGTCGTTCTGACATGACCCGTAATGGGATGTCCTCAGATCTTTTAATGAGATTGAGGATGTCTTGGATTCTTGTGTTTCCAAACAGCACATGTAAGTAGATTAGAAACAAGTCAAGCCAAAAAAGGCCTCGAATCGTCCTCTTGTCGCCCTTGTATAGATGTTGCCAGCCTATTAGAGACTGTCCCCTCCAGAATCATCTTAAACAGTCAAGTCTGCCTTGTTCATATCAATGACAAGGGCAAATAACTCATTTCAGTACAAAACCATTCTGGAATATTATAACAAACTGGAAACTGCTTAAGTTTAGTATTGTTGTAATATTGCTGACGTCAGCAACAATAATTACTCCGTTCTATTAATTATGTTTGTTCTTAAGGTGAAATAAATTTTGTAAACATGGTCAAGTGAAGACAGGGTGGTACCAGCAATTGTTCATCAGTCACTACCCATTCACCACAAACTAAACTGAAGGTTCACAACAACTGTGTATCATGATCATAGTCACACTGTCGCCATGACAACAGGTTGAGCTTGAGCTGAACATCAACACGCGGAGCCCCAACTACGCCCGGAGTAAAGGGGAACAGATCGCCCTCAACGTGGACGGAACCTCTGCAACAAGGAAGGGCGAGCGCTTCTATGGCAGGTGAGTGAGAATCAGGAGAGTGCTCGGAACACAACACTCTATGCAAGCCACAAGAGCTGACACCGATTGGGGTTGTGTGTTTACAATTACCACTGACATGTTCGGCTTGGTTGTACATACATAAAACATCCTTTTGCAAAATAAATTAAGCATCACTTTAATCAGCTGTATAAACTGAGGGGCAAAAGAAAGTATACTGAGTTTATTTTCTGTTTCTCCCATAGCAGGGCTTGATCTTCAATCGCCAGCAGTGGTTTATTCGCAGTGGTTTATTTTTTTTCACCTAATCTGATTGGCTGCCTGAGAGTGGAGGGTTGTGTCATCGTGTTTTGATTGGCTGGCTAAAAATAATTGACGGCACTATTTTCGGATCGGGGATACCCCAGGTCGTCTAGTACAGGAAATCCCCAGCAGGCAAAACATTACCGTTGTGACAATGTTTCCATTGCCGAAAGTTGATGACCGAAGGAAAGTTCGTGGGGGAAGAAGGGGTATGATATATGGAGATATATCAGAGAATTTCGGCTTCCCAATGTACCAGATTCAGTTGCAGAATGAGAAGACGGTAACCGAAGCGAGATACCGCATCAATATTACGGGACCAGGGGAGCAACTCCGGTACATTCTTTACTGGGCGTTTTCAAGGCTAATAACAAAGCTCATGAAACAGTTAATTAATTCATGTAAAAATACCGATGAAATAGTGAAACAAACCATATTGTTTGGTATTTTTAAAAAACAACAACTGTCAACCACCTAAGAAATGTCACGTTCCAACAAAGTTTTGATCTAGAGCCGATCGATCAAAAACATATTTCATAGATCTATTAAATTAATCGAGACTTAAATTTCATATTTTAAGAAAATAAACACTCAGATAATTTGGATCTAGAGCAATACTCAATTTTAATGCAGGAAACGATCAATCTTTGCTGGACGGACCGTACATCTCACGACCAAGATGTTTTGCAATCACAGCAGTTGTTTCCCCTTTCAACAGGTGGAGTTTACCAAGATCAATATAATTAATGTATTTTGGCCTATAATTATTTGGTATTTTTTAAACATTAAGACTTCAATTATTTAAACATACTATCTCAGGACAATTAAGAAACTCATTATGAAAAACCAACATTACCCCGTTAAAACTTGAATATATTAAGTCATACCTAAATCCAAATAAACTCCAGAAAGTAATATATGTATTTATATTTTTTCTTGACTATTTTGATTTATTATAGGGAGCAGACAAAATGATAAAGATAAAGATGGTGGGCACCAATCAACCTTTTTTAGGTATTTTTTTCAAAAGCAATATTCTTTTTTTTTCAACAATGATGTACATTTATGCATCTTAAAATATATTGTGTATTTTAGATAGGATGAAATAATCTCAAAATTAATTTCTTATTATAAGTTTTAGGTAGAAACTCAATATCACAGTCAATTATTTTCAGAATTTACAGACAATACAGAGTATTAAGACATGTAGAATTAGGTTTGTCTCAAGTATATTCTTTAAACCAAAGATTTATTATTTACCATGATTACTGAAAAAACCCACTTATTTAGAAATGCATTAGGAATGTCTAATTTTAATTTAAATACTTTTTGCCAAAAAAAAATCACATATGAACAGGTCACTCAAATACATATTTATTATTATGTCTTGTTTTCATGAAGATAAAAAGAATGTTTAAGATCATGTTAATTTTAAACTACCTTATCAGTAAGTCTTAATTCTAATCTGATAAAATAACAAAAGAATAAAGTTTGGAGGTAACTGTTGCAGTAAGATTACAATGTAAAATTACAAGGGTATTAAATTGCAAATATTTGTAGAACTACTGAACTGATAATTTATTGTTTACATACTATCCTATGTATTTATGTTTCACACAAAAAAAATTATTGTGCTTGTCAAATTCACATTGTTTCTTGTCATTCACAAATATGGGGAAATTAGATGACTCATTTAGTAACATTTGGTGTCATGATGTTAAATATTATGTTCAAAAGAAAAACTGTCAACTGAAAGGGGTTTTTTTATATCATAAAAACACATGGGCTCACAATGTTCAGGAACAAAAAAAATTGTAAAAAAGATGACATGCAGTATTCATCATTTTACACATTAAATTATTCACTGTAAAACTAGTTTTAAAGAGGTAAATTCGTCCAAAAAATTTACAATCCATTGAAGGATTTGAGATGTAATCAGCTGATCAGTTGCCTGAGTTGGTAATATTATAAAATCTTGCCTGATCAATCCTGCTGACAGTTCCTTTGGGCACTTGTTTTTCGTTAACAATAGTTCACAATATATAAGACAATATTTAATTTCCTCTTAATTGGGTTTATAACATTTGTTTCTAGCGAACAAATAAACGAATAACGTATTTACATACACTAAAAAGGTGGGCCTATTTAGTGTTGCGCATTGAAAATGATAGTCACGGCGAGACGAATGCAAATAAAGTTATGGGCCGAGAAATCCAAAACCATTAACAAATATCAAATCACATTACTAATTCTCAAAACGTTACCCCCATCAGCTTTTAATAGTTAACAAAAAACATAACACGAATGCTAACAAGTGGCTTGCCTGTCACGGAAACTTTGTGTAAGTTGTCTTCGCTAGAACCTTTTTACCTGTTTATGTTACAGTTGTCTTACTGAGCATATTCGAAAACGAGGCTGGGGGGAATCCCGAGTGGTTACTAAACACGGGAAATCTTCAACTACGAGCTCGACTTTTTATGGCGTATTGTAATGGGAGAAAAAGGATTAACCACTGTGTTCGGTTGTTACCGAAAAATCTACACACTCGTGATTAATCTGTCACAATTAGAACTCTAATCCTCTATGTAATTGAAAATTGAAAGAACTGTTGTTAAATTTGATTATGTCTGTTTCACCATCACTCGTTCCTGTGACAGTTTGTAAAAAGTGATCTGTGGCTGGGTAATTTTATGTCAAAATAAATTGGTTCAATGAAGACTGGGGTAAGAAATGAACTTGCAACCTACATGACCCTAACATTTTCCATATGTAAATTTGTGCCCCAAAACCAAATTTATTGTTTGTCAAAGATAAGATTTCTAAACATCAGTTGAAGTGTATTATGCACACAAATTTTTTTTTTTTTTTACAGTTTAAGAACAAATTATATTTCAAAACATTAATGCCATGACTAAGCTCAGGACACAGTTCATTTTATGGAACTCATGTTGCTAACTTAAGATATTTTATTGAAAATCAAACATGATAAAATCAACTGAGAAGTGTAGTTTCTTTTGCTTCTCTGTTTTTAGGGGGTTGTGAGGGGTGTGGGGTTAGCCTAGTGGTTTATGTGTTCGCTCAGCATGCCAAAGGCCTGGGTTCAAATCCCCACATGGGTACAATATAAAAAGCCCATTTCTGGTGTCCCCTGCCATGCTGTTGCTGGAGTATTGCTAAGAGTGAGGTAAAGCCATACTCACTCATTCCTGCCAGGTGAGCTACAGTACTATGTTGTTGCTTGTGTTCCGCAGTGACCTGATGGACAAGCAGGTCCTCACCTCCTCCACATGCAGCATGTCCACAAACCGCTACGCAGCAGGAGTCCTCAAGGATGGTGAGTCCCCATCCTGCTGTACTTGAGGATACTCAAGTTTCACGTTCAAGAAATCATACATTTTTCAGGCATCTCAAGAATTTGTATAATATTACCCAGGACAAATTAGCCGTCCTAGTTGATAAACCACTAGAGCTACCAAAGCACTGACAGTGACCAATCACTGGGGAGCACTGTCCATATTCACGGCAATGAGCAATAAGCCAGCTTCTTCTTTTTTCTACACCGTTGCCATTACTCTTGAATACATGTGTGACTTAGAACACAGGTACATCTCTGACAAACATGTCAGCCCTATTTATTTCCATTGAGGACTGACATTTCTCTTTTTTTCAAAGTTCTTTAGAGTAGCTTATGTAACCATTTGGTTGATTGTCTGCACATTAGTTGACATTGTTGGTGATGATGTTGTCTGCGTCGTTGCAGGTGAGCTGCACCTGACGCCGCTGCACGGGCTGGTGCAACTGCGACCTGGTTTCTCCTACCTGGACCATGCAGACACCAGGCCCAAACCCGACCTGACAGCTGCTGGCGATGTGGGTACGTACAGAGCTAGTCATTTGATTAAGAAAACGTACAACTTTATGGATTATCGAACGTTTTCTTACTTACTCACCAACTTCTAGAAAACCAATCAAACAGTTAGTCATGTGATGCCTTAACCCCGTTAGCCACAGGGACATATTTGTCCCTCCTCTTCAAACCTCACTTTGTGGTGAATAAAACCCAAGATACATCACACAAGAGCAGTCATTTCAGGCAAAGCAAAATTACTGAAAACAACCTCTGATATTAGGTATCTATAAAAAGTCTAGCTATTTTTGACATATTTCTGCAGCACCACTCACAGCATTATTTCATGTATGTTTCGAAATCTAAATATCAGATACATATTCGGAGAAATAGCACAGTAGTGACCACAGGTGTTTGTGATTTATCCAATCAACAATGATCATTCTGAAAGTGAAAATTCTGTTTCACATATGCTGGTTATGCCTATTACATCACATATATTTCACACTTTAAATAACTGAGATAAATATATCCCAGAATTCCTCATACATTTTAGCATCAAATGACAAATTGTCTTTGACACTAATACAAGATGATTTCAAGCAAATTTTAATCACATGTTTTGACGTGACCCTGTTGTTTAAAAGTAGAAGTAGAGGATGTTTGGATTCGCTATCATGACCTTGTGTTTCCAGGAGATTCGTCCCAGGACGAGATGGAGGAAGAGGCTAAGCCGGTGACCGTCAAGTTTGCCCGCCATGAGAGCGAGGAGGCAAAGGCCAGGAGAATGGCGTCCTATGAATATCTGAAACAGCGGATGAATGAAGAGCCATGGGTACAAGTAGAGTGCCATGGGATTGAGGTAAGACAACCTTGTGCTGGAAGTGTAAAGCTGCCAAATCCTTTGAATACCTTACCTCTGGTACATCATTGCCATGAATAAAGGATCCTGTCTTTCTCGCCACCCTAGCTTTGGGGCAGCCCCAGGCATAGCGGGACCGCCTCCGTGGTCTAGTGGTAGAGCGTCCGCCTGGAGAGCGGAAGGTCCGGGGTTCGATCCCCGACCGTGTCATACCAAAAGACGTTAAAAGATGGTACTTGTTGTTACCCTGTCTGGCGCTCGGCATTAAGGGGCTAAAACAAGGACTGGTCGGCTCAGAGTCAGTATATTGTGTCTGAGTGGGGTATTCACTGCGGCATGGTATCTCAGTGAGCTAGCACTATAAATCGGCATCAGTCCAGACTAGTACAAGCAGACACACACACAGACACACACAGACACACACACACACACACACACACACACACACACACACACACACACACACACACACACACACACACACACACGTGCATGCACGTCGCTATATAAGTGCAATAATCTTGAACGCGACGTTAACCCCCATTTCACCTCACCTCACCCCAGGCATAGCACAATTTTTCAAAGTTCTTCCTTGAGAGGTGACTGCAGTAGGTGCACCTTGATTTCGGAGTGCACATATTTTTCTTGCACACAGACAACTTGGTCGCATCCGCACCCAGAGCAGATGCCGGATGAGAGAGAGTCCATCTCCCACAATATAAAGAACTAACTTACTTTAGACTGCGTTCTTCAATACCCTCCATTACTGCTAGTGTCTGATGTCTGTATTTTCTTTGTAAGTTGATCTTAACTTTACAGCAGTAAAACCTGTCCAAATTGAGTAGTGATGAAACATCTCTTTGTTTACTCCTGTACACACTGGGAAGAAGTGACATTTTCCCGCCTTGTGCATGCGTAGTTGCCTTAGGTCTGAGGATAGGGTTTACCTCAAAACTAATTAGATAAGTTGGCAGTGAATGGACGTCTCCCTTCCATTGTTATCTCCCTTACTCTGTTTTGAGGAACAGGCTATAACTGTAAGATCTTGTTGCAGGATAATATGGCAGAGTCGGAGCGGTTGTTGCTCTTAGCAACGCAGGGCGATGACATGTCAGAGTTCCAGATGGCAGGAAAAGACTACATGCATTGTCTGATGCCCCCAGCCACAGAGCAGACAGAGTGAGTAGGATATGGTTACACCACCCGTAACGGAGGTATAGCAATAACTAATGATGATCAAATCCATCCCATTGATTTATTGAGTATAATATACCACAGACAGTGAGTATGATATGGTTACACCACCCGTAACGGAGGTGTCTGAAATAAATAGCAATAACAAATGATGATCAAATACATATCATTGATTTATTGAGTATAATATATCACAGACAGTGAGTATAATATACCACAGCTAGTGAGTATAATATACCACAGACAGTATTATATACCACAGACAGTATAATATACCACAGTCAGTATGATATACCACAGACAGTATGATATACCACAGACATTACATACCACAGACAGTATAGCATACCACAGACAGTATAATATACCACACATAACTACAGTAGTTCCTTGATGTCCAATACGTCCTGTCTGTTCCAGGGACCAGCCGGCCATGCCCAACAATGTGCTGTCTCTTTCCCAGCTGAGGACTCTACCACTCCCAGACCAAGTGCGCACACTCCTCACAAATGGTATGTTTATACATCGTTATACCACGCAAATTGCTATAAATAAATTGCAATTGCTTTTGTCTTAAACACCCATGACATGTTAGATTGAGGCTTTGACAAGGTTATACAAATGACAGGGATGACCATCAAAACAAAGTTTCTATTGCAATAGTATGACAACAATATGGCAGTGGTATAGTGCCGGGTACCAGTAAGTACCTTTATATTAGGGGTGAAGTGATACATTGGTGCAGCGTGATTGTTCAGGCCATGATACGATACATGATACACTTGCTAAAAGAAAATTACTTGATACTCATAAAATGACACCGAGCAGATTTGTCAGTCAAATGTCACAAAATGGGTTGTAATTAGCCGCTTATGTATCTACAGGTAGCTTTACGTGTTGAACCTGATCTGAAATTGTGAAATGTTCCTAGGCAAGAAGTGATCTGACGTAAATATGTGTGTCGTGATATGTATCATATCGTGACCTTTGTATCATGATATGTATCATATCGTGACCTTTGTATCGTGATATGTATCATATCGTGACCTATGTATCGTGATATGTATCATATCGTGACCTATGTATCGTGATATGTATCATATCGTGACCTATGTATCGTGATATGTATCATATCGTGACCTATGTATCGTGATATGTATCATATCGTGACCTATGTATCGTGATATGTATCATATCGTGACCTATGTATCATGATATGTATCATATCGTAACCTTGCTGTATCGTTTCACCCCTACTTTATATATCCCAAGTCTTTAGTTCGGCAGAGTGCTTGGGAAGTTGTTTGGCAATAAGGGAGGTATCATAAGATTCATGAACATTTTGTGATTATAAAAGATCAACCCGATATTTTCATTTTATACTATCAATGTTTAAGCATGGCCTCAATGTGAACCACTGCTACTTTACCATGTCACGCATCCCATTGGACCCGAGACAGTTGTGAGTCATCAGTAGTTTGGTCAGTTGTTGCACCCCTACAGTGTTTTGTCTGCAGTTAGATTTGTGTGGTTTCAGTGAAAGTCCTCCGCCTCGCCCAGCTGCTTGCACTGCTCCCCCAGGGGACGGACCCTGCAGCCGTGCTCCGCTCCCTCCAGCAGGTGGCGGTGCTGGTCCAGGGGTGCTGGGTCGTCAAGAGGTAAGCTTTATGATTAAGGAAGCTTCTGTTAACTTACGAGCTGCGGTTAATTAATTAAATACAAAATACCGGGGTAGATCTCATCACACCGATACACAAGTCTCCTGAAACACATCTCAGACACGCCGTGCATACGACAATACAGCTAGCAATACATAGATTCTGAATCGACCATTGTCATGTGTAGCATCATATGCGGTGCAGAGTTGTGTCCCTTATCTGTGCCAAGATAACAGTCTTGGTTTCACATCTCACATCTCACATCTCTGAGATCTGCATTTTGATTGGACCACCAAATCTGATTATCAGCATTATCAAATTTTAGAGTTAGATCCTGATGTTAGTTCAATATGGCATCATGTCTCTTCACAACAATAGAAACTGAAAACAAATCTGCTTCATTGTGGACTGAAAGGTAATATCAAATACTCATTCAAAGTTCTGTATCTTTATCCATGGCGACCGTGGCACAGCACCTTGAAAGTCACTTCCTTGTTTCTGGCATGTTCTGGGGCGGTCAGGTAGCCTAGTGGTTAAAGCGTTCGCTCGTCACGCCGAAGACCCGGGTTCGATTCCCGACATGGGTACAATGTGTGAAGCCCATTTCTGGTGTCCCCCGCCGTGATATTGCTGGAATATTGCTAAAAGCGGCGTAAAACCATATTCACTCACTCTGGCATGTTCTGTTGACTCCGTGTTTAACTTATTACCTCACATGGAAGTGACTGAAGTATTGTGATAAAACTCATCATGTGAGTGTTTGTATAAGCTGTCCACCATTGATTTTGGTTTTGAACATTCAACCTGTAAGAAATAATCTTCTGATGACATCAATTTGACGACATCTTCATTTCACTACATATAGAGTGTTTGTGGCTTTTATCATGGCAGAATGACCCAAAGTTAGTGTTGAGACATTTAGATGTGAAGTGGATCATGTCATCCCATGCTTTGACCATGTGTTGCAGTGAGGTGCTGTACCCGAAGGAAGCCTGCAGTCCGCACAGCGGCATCTCCTCCGAGATCCTGTGTCGCGGCAGGGACTACGTGGTGAGCAGTCATGTTGCCAACTGTGTGGTAAAGTCTCTGATTTGCATTGTGGAAATAAATATCAACAGACACGTGAAGATTCGGGGTAGAATAGGTCATCAGCAACCCATGCTTGCTTGCCGTAAAAGGCGACTATGCTTGTCGTAAGAGGCGACTAATGGGAACGAGTGTTTAGGCTCGCTGACTTGGTTGATGCATGTCATCATATCCCAACTGCGTGGATCGATGCTCATGATGTCAATCACAGGATTGTCTGGTCCAGACTCGATCATTTACAGACTGCCATCACATAGCTGGAATATTGTTGACTGTGTTGTTAAATAACAAGCAAACAAACAAAATATCAACAATCACAAACAATAATATGGATGACGACTTCTTTATCCACACTGAGGTAAAATTTTGTGAAGTACTAGCATGTGAACCCTCAGTTATTTCCTGGCCATCATGCAGCTGGAGTATTGTTGAGTGTGGCGTAGAGCAAACCAAGTAACTAGCGTGTGACGTCCTGTTTCAGATGTGGAAGTTCACCCAGTCCAGGCATGTTGTCCGCAAAGATGTGTCCTCTGTGATAAAGGTAGGTCATTTATTGTGTCATGGATCTGTTAACCTGTTAGCTCAACTGGTCAAAGATGTGTCCTCTGTGATAAAGGTAGGTCATTTATTGTGTCATGGATCTGTTAACCTGTTAGCTCAACTGGTCAAAGATGTGTCCTCTGTGATAAAGGTAGGTCATGTCTTGTGTCATGGATCTGTTAACATGTTAGCTCAACTGGTCAAAGATGTGTCCTCTGTGATAAAGGTAGGTCGTTTCAAGTACATCTTGATTAAAAAAATCTTTGCAAAAGATGTTTCTTGGCATCAAGACTGAAGTTTCTTGTTTTACACAAAGCTTATGTGAATCCAGTTTGATATTTGGACTTGACTGCAGTATCTACAAGAAGCAAGTCATCTGTCATGGGGGCTTTATTCCCAACACACATGGTAATGAAGGCGACACATTGTTTGTGATGGGGTGTCTATTTCTTTCCAGCTACCAGCCGAGGATGTCAAAGACATTCTGGAGCAGATGTCAAAGGTCAAGGCCAATAAGGGCTGGGAGTTTGTGTGTGAGTTTGACAAGGAGTTCACAGACAGGTGAGAAGTCATGGTGTTACAACCTGGTTCATGTGATAAGCAAAATGTTCTGCCAGGGACGCCTTTGTCAGAAGTCTTGGTCACTGATACTCACTGATTAGTGAGTAAGGAATACTGAAGGTCTCAACCAAGCTTATCAGTGTGCACACCACGCTCAACAAAACTTTTTTCATTATTGGAGCTGGCCAGTAAACATTAACAAAGGCAGGGATTCATGGTCAGATTCAGTCCCCAGTACTTCATTGTTGACTGAAATGGAGATTGAACAATCAGGCTTTGTAACTCGGGTGATTGTGTGTTAACATACACAGACTCCAGTGGTCATTGATCATGCCATCAACCTATACTCTGTTAGTTACAGGCCACTGTGATATGACAGGAATAGTGCAGACTGCAGCTTAAAACAACAATGAAAAACAGACTTGCTTGAGAATATCAGGACATAATGTCACTCAGATGCCACCACACGCACCATTTTTCATCTTTGCTTTCAGTCCTAACTATTGATGCAGACATGCTTGTTAATCATTGTGGGTAAGCTATGTGAGGACTACACTTGATGGTGGAGTGTGTGTTGTGCAGGTACACGGACATTGTGCAGCGGCAGAAGATGCTGTGGGATGCTAAGTACCAGGCCCTCGCCAAGCAGTTCAAGATTCCCAAAGATCAAGACAAAAAAGTCAAAGGTGTGCTAAGGAAAACTTTATATTATTATCATAGAATCTACCATCTTCTTTTATTGCAAAGATGTATCAATATTCAAAGTGGAGTTAAACCAATCACTCTCACTGACTCGCCCATCTTGATAGATTATTTAATGATGGAGATCTTTTGATATGCAAAAGACATTTGGATTACAAATGAATTACTTATACTTCACCGTGCATCTTATTGACAGTGAGTTTGATTGTTTCCTACAGGAACGGAAATGGAATCGCCTACCAAGATTGAAAAACCACGGCGCCGGAGAACATCATCCAAATCATCTCCACGCCAACGGACACTAAGTGGGCGGTCTGTCTCGGATCAGAGTGATATTGAAATGGAACCTGCATCCAAACCTGGCAGTCTTACAAGGGAGGTAACTCCTGTAATGACAGAACCACTGGTGATCCACGAGGAGATCCACGACTCTGCTTCAAACATTGCAGAACAAATGGAAGTCTCTGAATCCGACCATGTGACACAAAATGGTCCAATCAGTGATGACACAAATACCAGTGATACTAATAATTTAACCAATGGTATTAGTACTGAACTACGAGAAGAACTGTTGTCATTCATGGCTAATTTATTACGGACTAGAAAAGTGTTTACACATAGTGAAATGAAACGACTCTTCGCCCTGAAACTTCAGATGTGTCCACCAGGGCACGTGTTGGGGTCGGGGGTGTCAGAGAAGTTGCTGGAGGATGTTGTTGTGGAGGCTGGAGGCATGTCAATAGATAACCAGGTGAGAATGGGGCCTTCATGTTAAACTGCCGCACGGTATCCCAGGGGGCAAGCAATATAAAATCGACATCAGTCCAGACTAGTACAAGCAGCCACACACCCACAAACACGTGGATGCACGTCGCTTTATAAATGCAATAACCTTGGACGCAGCGTTAAAACCTAATTTCACCTCACCTTGTGTTCCAGTGGCCTCCTAACACGAAGCCGGAGCCAATCTATGCTCTTGTCAAAGTGGGGGATGAAAGCGATGGGGTAAGTACATCGGTGACTCGGTGGAATGCCTTGTTGTATGGTTGGTGCCATGGGATTCAAACACTGCCCCTTGTTGGAGACCTTGTGTGATTTGAGACAGGGTGATGGGGTGGCTTATTGGTGAAAGCATTTGCTTGTCATTCACAAGTCCCAAGTTCAATTCCACTCATTGGTACAATGTGTTTAGCCCTGTTCTGGCGTCCTCCACCGTTGTGTTGCAGTAATATTGCTAAAAGCATAGAACCTGACTCATGCACTCTTACTAAGAGTCCTAGTATCCAAACAGTGGCTTCCTACAATGACTTCAATGCAGCCTAAGACCTTTAACTCCTTACTTTGTCTAAGTGTGTAACCAAGGACTTCTAGCCTTACTTTGTCTAAGTGTGTAACCAAGGACTTCTAGCCTTACTTTGTCTAAGTGTGTAACCAAGGACTTCTAGCCTTACTTGGGGCGGTCGGGTAGCTCAGTGGTTAAAGCGTTCGCTCGTCACGCCGAAGACCCGGGTTCGATTCCCGACATGGGTACAATGTGTGAAGCCCATTTCTGGTGTCCCCCGCCGTGCTATTGCTGGAATATTGCTAAAAGCGGCGTAAAACCATACTCACTCACTCCGTCACTCTAGCCTTTCTTTGTGTATCCAAGGACTTCTAGCCTTACTTTGTCTAAGTGTGTAACCAAGGACTTCTAGTGTAACTGTCCCTGCAAGTGCCCTATGAATACTTGGTATATTTGGTATATGCATACAGAACTTCTGTTGTTGATGGTGTGCCGCCATGTTCTGCTCAAAGATGATGTATTCCTTGCAGGTAAGGAAGGTCCTGTTTGATATGTTCCGTGGAAGCTGCCGAGTGAAGACAAGTGCTTTCAAGAAAAAGATTTTGGAATTCACTGGGAGTGAACAGTCTGACATTAACTGTAGAACACTGCTCAGGGTAAGCTGGGATATGAAACACTGCTCAGGGTAAGCTGGGACATGAAACACTGCTCAGGGTAAGCTGGGATATGAAACACTGCTCAGGGTAAGCTGGGACATGAAACACTGCTCAGGGTAGGCTGGGATATGAAACACTGCTAAGGGTAAGCTGGGATATGGAACACTGCTCTGGGTAAGCTGGGATATGAAACACTGCTCTGGGTAAGCTGTGGCACAACGTAAGTGATCTGCTAAAGAGTCTTGATACTTCGATAGTTGTCATAATGAGACATGAAGCACTTAGGGAACTCTTTTTTGGGTAGTTACACATTTTGCATATTTCAGTTTTTAGGTTAAAGGCAATGTACTTTGTTCAGTCTCTCCCCTCCTCGGAGTGAAGTGTGTGACGATGTGTCTATGCTGGTTTCAGGAATACTGTGAGACACGTGGAGCACTGTGGTACTTAAAGGGGGCGTGTCCAGACTCATGATGAAGGGCAGCTCCTTTGCTGGGAGCATTGTCAGCTAATCCTGTGATGTCAGCATAAACATTCCTGCAGCCAACTGTGGAGCCACCTGTCACCATCTTCAACGTGTTGAGCCACCACTCTCAACATGTGGAGCCACAGCTCTCAACATGTGGAGCCACTACTCTCAACATGTGGAGCCACAACTCTCAACATGTGGAGCCACCACTCTCAAAATGTGGAGCCACAACTCTCAAAATGTGGAGCCACCACTCTCAACATGTGGAGCCACCACTCTCAACATGTGGAGCCACCACTCTCAGCACGTGGAGCCACCTGCCTTTATCTCCAACACAAGCCTTGAGTTAACACTCAGCCCTATAGATGTCTGTTACATGCATTAAATGTTATGTTCTGTATCTCCCTCGGAATTGTATAAGAATAAACAAGTAATTTTTATGACAACAAAACCTGGGCCCTCACATGCATACGACAGTAAAGCTAGCATGAGGGACAAATACTCCAATACTGAAATCTGTAAATCATCTTTTTCCCCACTGAAATGTCTTGTTGTATCATTGGTACATCATTCCTCGATACAAGGTGAATTTGGTATGCACACCCAATACATAGCTCTGATGGTAGTCAGTATTGAAGGGACAAGGTTATTTTGTGTCAAATGTGCTGGTCAATCTGTCCATCACATGGAAGGTTTGTAACCTCAGTCTTCATTATGAGGCCTGCAGTCAGTATCTGCTTCCCGTATGGCCGTAGAATCGTGCTTAAGGTGTTGCTGTGTGGAAGCAGGTACTGAGAGTTGTCTGATCGTGTGACAAGTACTCTCTAAATACAACACAGCACAGATTGGTGAATCAATATTAATTTGAGGACTAACGAGACTAGTCACAGATTGGGAACCCGCACGCAGGACTAGTGGAGTGCTGAAATCCACAAGCCATTTGCTATCCACTGCTCTGCCAGCAGCCTTGTCCTCAGTATAGACACCTCAGTTCCGTTAGGGGCAGTTGGGTAGCCTAGTGGTTAAAGTGTTCGCCTGTCACATTGAAGGCTCGGGTTCAATTCCCCACATGGGTACGATGTGTGAAGCCAATTTCTGGTGTCCCCTCGCCTTGACATTGCTGGAATATTGCTTAAAGCGGCATAAAACCATAGTCGCTCAGCTGCATTATTTTACAATCAGGCCAGATGTCTTAAGGTGCTGCTATTCGCTGTGCAGAGTTGAGTATTCTAGATGTGCCTAAAACCTACACCCCCTGCCTATGTTTCAAGTCAGCACCACACTCCTGCTTTCACCAAAGAATACCTGCATCATGGGAGGCTTTCCTCCGCATGAAACTGACATGCCGGGATATGATTGAAATACCAGTCATTAAACCAAACTTACTATCTGACAAGGGCGGTCAGTGAGCCTTGTGGTTAAAACGTTGACTCGTGACACTAAATACCTGGGTTTGTTTTCCATCATGGGTACAATGGGTGAAGTGCATTTCTGCTGTCCCGTCGTGATATAGCTGGACTTTTACTAAAAGGGGCGTAAAGCCCAACTCACTCACTCACTCACTCACTCACTCACTCACTCAATGCATCTGACAACCATATTGTGTTGTGATTGGCTCTGAATTCTTTGTTAGTGAGAGCTAGTATTTGTGGTTATGACCATGTTTGCAATATTTATGACTTCTCACTGTACTCTCACGTTAGGCTACTGCATGACATACCTGAAATAATGTCCAATCATTGTTAAGTCCCTCTCTCTCACTGCTGGTGCAGGACATAATAACCCATCATGCACGTCGATGTACGGATAAGCTGTAATCAATGTACAATACATTCACAGCATCTGTCAAACCTTGAACGAGAGTCGTGACATATGTTGTGTAACAATGAGATGTTGTTTCCATGGAAACGGGATGAGCCTTACATGTGTCACAAGTGAGGTGTGCAGGATTTTACAAACTGACTAGGCTGATACGCCATGAGAACAAACATGACACATTACAGATTTGTTCTTACAAGACTTAATTTTTGATGTGACTTCCATCAGACTCTCCATGGTAACTCAAAGGACGACCATGGTCATTTGTGACGTGACCAGCATGTCACATCAAACATAATGAGGTCATAATAATTACAAAGGCTGGACAGCCAGCTTGTATGGATTTTACAAAAACTTGACTTGTCAGTCAGATAGGTAGATTGTCTCGGGAGTATTGGTTATTCCTATTGGTTTCCTGTTGGCTGCAAGGATGTCCCAAGCAACCTTATATGTACAGATATTTTGTACACCCTTTGTACTCAAAGAAATAAAACAATGAAAGTATTGGTATGTCCATGTGTTTATCATTGTAGGTGATATTGATGCAATGCCTTTTGGGTACAACTTTCTCAGCAGACACAAACTTGTGTGCGTCTGATCTTTCTTGTTCCAGATTATCGTAAAGCAGAAGCAATAAACAACATTAGGAGTGTTTCGGTTCTTTTTTGCTCTTTCGGTCACTTCCCTGTGGAGATCCCAGGTCAGAACAGGTCCCCAGTACCCCATGCTTGTCTCCCTGTGGAGATCCCGGGTCAGAACAGGTCCCCAGTACCCAATGCTTGTCTCCCTGTGGAGATTTCAGCGTAGAACAGGTCCCCAGTACCCCATGCTTGTCTCCCTGTGGAGATCCCAGGTCAGAACAGGTCCCCAGTACCTCGTGCTTCAAGCCTGTCATCAACCCCTACGGGGATCGGGTGGTCATGCGCAGTGACTTGGTTGATTGCAAGTCACTGCGTCACACTTCTCGCGAACTATAACTTTAAAGTTACTGTAATAAACAGTGATGAATAGGAAGCGTTAGAGGAATACATATTTGTATTTGTTGTGGCTTAAGTTACATTAGAAACCTCCAACTACTTGCTAAATGGTTGTCTGAATTATGAAAGTATTCCAACGTTAGTAAAGCTATTCATTATAGCTATCTATTCCATGGCATGATTGTGTCATTACTTAAATGACTGACAATTACGTTAAGGCCAATAATTTATGGAGATTATGATCAACTGAATGCAGTTGATAAATGTCAGCGGCAGTGCTAGCCCAAGCATGCTGGACTCGTGGCTGCTGTCTGGCCGTCACCAAACTGATAGACGCTCACCTCTTGACCAGTAATACATCGCCATAGCAACACCTCTTAATGGGCAACACATGTCCTTATGAAGTCGATTGTTCCCCATTTGTTCTGCTGAAACAAAGGGAACATAGGTTTGAATTACGCTTGTCATCCCCGGCATGTTTCCTAATCAAGTCAATGCAGTGTTTGCACAACGTTCATCGCCAGTCGTCAAAAGTGAGACTCGGTCAAACCCTGAAGAACATTTCATGTGAAAAATAGTCGGAAGTAAATAAAATCTGCATTGACGAAACATTGGTTATGGAGATATGTCCCTCAGTGTATATACAAACGTGGAGTCTTCCCTACAGAAAACGGGGTGGACCATGATTGTCCTCTACAGTGAGGTTTTGGGTGGAGCGCCTGATCTGATTGTGTCCTCGTGTCCAGCCAATGGGATTGTGCTCATGCTATCTGGCACAGGTTTGTCTCAACATGACTTTGTACAGGTTCTTGTTAATTAGGCAGGGGGTTGTCGGCACGGCTACTATAGATATGTTCCCAGGGTACTTTTCGGTGTACCCTAACCAATATCAGAATACAGAACGGTACCAAAACGGCGGACGAGTCCATATTTCACAAGCTGAAACCGGTTTGTGTTGTACTTCGGTTGCATTGCTGATATCGAGTCCATGTGCATCGCGGAATTACAGAACATACAGCACTGAGTATGCTCGTTTTTATATCTCACCCTGGAAAACATCCCATACAACAAACAGTATGACATTTCCGATACAGAAAACCCGCCATGTTCAGTGACATTTAGACGAACGCGTACTGTGGAGCTGGATTTTACCGCGGCTAAGCACGCAAGATGTCTTTCCACGCAAGCGTACCAGGAACCAGTTCAGCGCACTGCGGAATGGACTCGTCCCAGGGTATCGTTCTGTATTCCGTTCTTGGTCAGGGTACATTTGTGTGTACTGAAAAGTAAAGGGTGCATATCTGTAATACCTGAGCCGACAACGACCCCTTCAGAGTAGGAATCTACATCGAAACGTCGTTAAATGCAATTAACCATAAGTTGTTATCTATAAAGTATGATTTCTTATTTTCTAATAAATTTGGACCAGCATAGGTCACGGGAACCTATCCTTAATCCGGTAACCCACAGGGTGCAAGATCCGGGGAAGAATAGGTCTTCAGCAACCCATGCTTGTCGTAAAGGGTGACTTTGCTTGTCGTAAGAGGCGACTAACGGGATCGGGTGGTCAGGCTCGCTGACTTGGTTGATGCATATCATCGTATCCCAATTGCCTTGATCGATGCTCAAGATGTCAATCACTGGATTGTATGGTCCAGACTCGATTGTTAACAGACCGCTGTCATGTAGTTGAGTGTGGCGTTAGACAAACAAACAAAACAAGCAAGTAAACGACATCCACGAGTTTACGACATTGTATGTCAATGTGCATGCACGCAGTGAAAACACCGACATCCAACTACACCATAAAATACAGCTTCCAGTGGTCCAGTCCGTATCAAGATGACTGAGGTGAGGTGAAATGGGGTTTAACGTCGCGTCTGCTTATACTAGTCCGGACTGATGGCGATTAATAATGCTAGCCACTGAGATACCATGCCGCAGTTTAACATGCATGCCCCATGCTTTCAGACACGACACCAGTCCTTTTAGCCCCTTAATGTCGAGACGCTAGACAGGATAACAACAAATACCATCTTTTAAGGGCTTTTTGGTATGACCCGGCCCGGGATCGAACCCCGGACCTTTCGGGCGGACGCTGTACCACTAGCCCACGGAGGTGTTCCAAGATGACTGACGACATCCACCAGTCCTGGTTGGGCGGTGCTGGCGTTAACGGGTCTAGTGTCGAGACATACGTGTACAAGATGGCTGACGACATCCACCCGTCCTGGTTGGGCGGTGCTGGCGTTAACGGGTCTGGTGTAGAGATATACGTGAACGAGATGACTGACGACATCCACCCGTCCTGGTTGGGCGGTGCTGGCGTTAACGGGTCTAGTGTCGAGACATACGTGTACGAGATGGCTGACGACATCCACCCGTCCTGGTTGGGCGGTGCTGGCGTTAACGGGTCTTGTGTCGAGATATACGTGTACGAGATGACTGACGACATCTACCCGTCCTGGTTGGGCGGTGCTGGCGTTAACGGGTCTGGTGTAGAGATATACGTGCACGAGATGGCTGACGACATCTACCCGTCCTGGTTGGGCGGTGCTGGCGTTAACGGGTCTGGTGTAGAGATATACGTGCACGAGATGGCTGACGACATCCACCCGTCCTGGTGGGCGGTGCTGGCGTTAACGGGTCTAGTGTCGAGACATACGTGTACGAGATGACTGACGACATCCACGGGTCTAGTGTCGAGATAGACGTGTACGAGATGACTAACGACATCCACCCGTCCTGATTGGGCGGTGCTGGCGTTAACGGGTCTTGTGTCGAGATATACGTGTACGAGATGACTGACGACATCCACGGGTCTAGTGTCGAGATAGACGTGTACGAGATGACTAACGACATCCACCCGTCCTGATTGGGCGGTGCTGGCGTTAACGGGTCTAGTGCCGAGATAGACTTGTACGAGATGACTAACGACATCCACCCGTCCTGATTGGGCTGTGCTGGCGTTAACGGGTCTAGTGTCGAGGTAGACGTGTACGAGATGACTAACGACATCTACCCGTCCTGGTTGGGCGGTGCTGGCGTTAACGGGTCTGGTGTAGAGATATACGTGCACGAGATGGCTGACGACATCCACCCGTCCTGGTGGGCGGTGCTGGCGTTAACGGGTCTGGTGTAGAGATATACGTGCACGAGATCGCTGACGACATCCACCCGTCCTGGTGGGCGGTGCTGGCGTTAACGGGTCTAGTGTCGAGACATACGTGTACGAGATGACTGACGACATCCACGGGTCTAGTGCCGAGATAGACTTGTACGAGATGACTAACGACATCCACCCGTCCTGATTGGGCTGTGCTGGCGTTAACGGGTCTAGTGTCGAGGTAGACGTGTACGAGATGACTAACGACATCCACCCGTCCTGATTGGACGGTGCTGGCGTTAACGGGTCTAGTGTCGAGATATACGTGTACGAGATGACTGACGACATCCACCCGTCCTGATTGGGCGGTGCTGGCGTTAACGGGGATATTCATGTACGAGATGACACCACAGGGAGGCTTTATTTCAGGTTCCCAGCCGTCGGGAATATCAGGTGGAATACGTCTTGTGAAGATTTCCTTCTGTCGCGCAAATATGGTCATGACTTTGAAGCTTGTAGGGTTTAATATTGCACGTCTGCTAATACATCAAGATTGTCGACGTTTCCCAATAGTGACTCTTCTCATACTGTCACGGTATTGCTCTAGTTATGAGGAGTCATGTTTCGCTAACATTCATAATATTACTGAACACAATAACTTGGGGATCATAAACATTTTGGGGGATATTTTTGTGTAGTGAAGACTAAGCACCAACTTTCATAAAAAAATATCCCCAATATTCCTATTATCCCGATTTTTTTTGTTCGGTACGTGTGTACATAAAAAATGGGAATTCTCTTCTACACGTTATGTGGCTACTCGTGTACATTGCGAGTGGGGGCAAGGGTCGTCGTCTAAGGCGCCGCTATTCCCTGTGCAGAGTTGCGTCCCTTGGTCCCGCCAGAAACCTATGATTGTGGGTTCGAATCCCTGTTCGCCCCGATTATGTTTCTAGGTATGTCAGCACCATACCCGTGCTCGTGGGTTTCACAGAAGTGGTAAACGTCTAAGACCTGCATCACTTCGGGCTTTCCTCCCACATTAAGCTGACACGCCGTGATATAACTGGAATAGTGTTAAAAGCGGCGTTAAAAACAACGCGTGAATGGGTGAGTATGGTGTTACGTGGCTTTTAAGCAATATTCACGCCATATGACGACAGTAGACACCATAAATGGGCTTCACACATTGTAACCATAAAGGGAGTTTAGCCTGGTCTGTATATGGACAACATGACTTACACTGTATATTGCCCCGGCAGATCGGTCTGCAGGAACTATGCATTATAGTCAAGGTCTGCGGTTCTGCCCCTTTGTCAAGCATGTAATATAACAACCTGTGTGGGCTATAGTCTAGTAGTATAGTGACGCATTCCTTACTCTCCGAAAGGAAGTATGTTTCCCGTAAAAGGTATGCAATTTA